CCCGTCAGCTTATGAGCCTCCGGAATCCAATGCGGAACTCGTCGGTTATGTCCCACAACCGGCTCCACGGCTGACAGTACGTTACACGCGGCAGGAGCTGGCTCAGCTGCTGAGCTCCCAGTCCCATCAGGACTGGATTCGGGCCTTAGCTTCCATCAACATCCTGGTGGCTCCGGTCATTCTTGGCGGCCTCACCAACCAGGAACAACAGACCCTTTGGTCTACCAGGATGGAAGCACTCCGAGAAGTTCCGCCGCTGTTCTCTGCCATCAAGTCCGTAAGGACGCAAACCGGCCTCACATGGGACACCGCCATGTCGGTGAGGCGGGTCCTCACAAGCGATGGGAAGGTCACCATCGCCACAGGCGCGGGTGACGCCTACCGTGAGCTGGACGCACCAACAAAGGTGCATGGCCTTATCCATGCCTGCTTCAACAAGATGTGGGACGAAAAGGCCTTTCGGCAGCACTTCCCCTCGTGGGTCGAGTTCAATATGATCGCCACCACCATAGTGGCAGTCTACAATGAGACGGCCAAATCAGCCGGACTCCCAGCTCGTGTTTTCCGGGTCAAACCCGACAAAAATGCCTACTCCATCATGAAGATGCGGATACAGCATGACAAGGGGAACGAAGAGGACAAACGCATGGCCAAACTGGCTGCTGCTGCCCCTAACAAGCGCCCACAGATGCAGGAGGCTGACACAGAGGGCAAGCGGCAGCGCGACGGCCCCTCCTCATCCTCTTCGTCCCAGTGGGCCAGACAGGCACGCTCATCTCAGGACGACGACTGGGACTGGTGGCAGCAGTGGTCCTGGCATGGTTACTCTCAGCAGTGGCCAAAAGGTCATGACCAGTGAGGGCGGTAATATGTCACAGACTCTATGATCCCTTATGTCACAGACTCAGGGAATTCGGCACTCTTCCGACGCCTAGCACATCTCTTCGGAAGAATGTGAACCGCGTGCTAGCCTCGCTTAAAACAGCACTTTGCGCTTCAGCGAGTTGCCCACATCCTAGCTGCCCAAAGTCTCACGCCACCGGAGTTGCTTCAGGTACCAGCGGTCATCCGCACATGACCCTTACGGCCTTCTGTCTTCAACATGAGTAATCCGTGTGGGACGCCACGAGACGGACACTCCAGGTGGCGGCTTCGTCTGAGGTACGGCCTAATTGTTGAGACAGGTGCACAGATGGACGCGTCTGTTCACACCAAGGTGTCGGAGAAGGAAGCTTTTTTGTAGCAGTAGCAGTTGCAGTAGTATGTCAAGTTCGAGCTGATTAGAGAGACCTGAGCGATGCATGCTAGAAGCAGTTTCACGAGTGCATGAGACCAAAGGCGCCCGCAAAGCGCAGAGCACGCTCGCGCAGCGTTCAATTGAAATAGTAGTAGTAGTTGTAGTAGTAGTAGTAGTAGTAGTAGTAGTAGTAGTAGTTGTAGTAGTAGTAGCAGTAGTCGTCGTCGTCGTCGCCGTGGTGGTGGTGGTGGTGGTGTGGTGGTGGTGGCGGCAGTGGTTGTAGTGGTAGCAGTGGTTGTAGTGGTGGTAGTATTGGTCCTGCTGATAGCAGTGACCCGCATTTTCGTCGGCGTCGCCACCTTGGTCGTCGTCATGACCGCCACCAGCGTCGTCGTCATCATCATCATCATCATGAACTCTATCATAGCCGTGACTTTGCTCTGGCAACCACGAGAAACCTCGGTCGGGAACGGCTCAGCGGTGTATGAAGCCTAGGATAATCTGCAGGAAGTTTCACCTTCACGCCCGTGGAGAGCGGAGGCTGTTATTAGCCTCATCATCATCATCATTGTCCATCGTCATCGTAGTCATCATCATCATCGTCACAATCCTCCTGCTCATCATTATTATGATCGTCACCCTCCTCCTGCTCATCATCATCATCATCATATTCCGGTCCATTTATACCATTGTCACCACATTCATCATAATGATGATATGGAGGGCAGGCGATATGGATGTACCAAGCCGAAGGCGCTGCCAGACAAGAAGTATTGGGGGCGTATGAAAATGTCATCCCGGCTGGTTGAATTTGCTGCCCCGACAGTTGCTCCCGAAGAGTTCCGGAGTGATTGTGAACTTGTTGAGCCAGGGCGTGTGAGAATTCTTCGGTGGACAGTGAGTACGTTTACACGGAGGACGACATGTCACGAGCAACAGAAGCCTCTTCTGTCAAGAGGTGGGTGGAGCATGGAGCATGCTTGCATGTTCGAATATCTATGCGAGCAGGACTACATCATCACACCTCCAGCCTGCATATGGCCGCTCCCCAAGCACTGAGAGGAGCACATCCCGGTAGTGGGGTTCATGTCAATGTTGTGTAGTGGCACACGGTCGCAAGGCAGGTGAGGGATCAGTGGGGTTATGCTTCAGGCATTCGCCTACTTGCAAGCAAGCCGGTTTCATGGAAGTATCCTGAGCTCTGAACTGCATCTGTGCATCCGCCGCTCTGACAGTACCTGAGCAGATCCACGGACCACAGCACAGGTCCACGCACACTGGACAGTGGGGTCAGCCGGACCAGTTCGAATGCGTTGACGGCCGGCCCCGCGACTTTCTTGTGCTAAGATAGAGCTGCTGGTGTCGAGTTTCTCAATTTGTTGCTACTCCGGCCTTTCGGGGTGCGTGGTTCACCCAGCAAGTTTGTGCGCTTGGGCAGGCACTTACTGCAGTGAGACGGATGCTAGCTGCTGTGTTCCGCATGGTGGACGCATCAGGCAGCGTTGTGGAGATCTTTGGGCTTGTGTAGTTTTTCAAAAGGTCAGAAGCAAAGACTCGGTTTTGGCAAACTGTCTGCTCGGGTGATGCCAAATGGGTCCAGAGTTTGGACTGCAGTCGCTGTTTCGCACGGGAAAGGATCCTGTTGAGAAAGCTTCTAGCGCATTCCAGTACCTGAGTCCCATGGGCAGAGAGAAAGGTTTGAAGAAGCCAAGGGCTAACGTAGACTTGAAATACAGTATTGACAGTATTGACATACGAGAAAGCCATCAATTTGGACTAACTCTGCTACATCTTTTACTCTCTTGCTCATGCCGTACTGCCTGACTTGTTGGACTCTGTGGCAGCCTTCCTTGGATACGATCCGGTAGCCGGATGCAGCCAGTCTGGGGCAAGAGAGGTTTGTACTATGATGCCATTAATACGAACAGCGATCACCACTTTGCCAGGATACGAAGAAAGCCACCAGTACGAGTTCTATATTAGGGGCCTTGATAATTGGACTAGGATTTTGGGGCCCATTATGCTATAATTACAATAAGGAACCCCAGAATAGTATTGGTAATCGAGGAATAACAGCAAGAGTGTCTATGGTAAGCGCAGCGCTCCTGGAGTGCACACCGGGCCAGGTGTCCAGCGAGCACGCCTTTCATGTGCCACAACCCGTTCGACTGCGCTGACTCCCAGGCCAGGTCTGGGACTTCCCCACCCTTATATGGGAGTTTCCGGAAATTAGGGATACCTTATTGTGGTGTCCTAATAGTAAGGATCCTACTATATGGGGTACTAGAGCTGGGTCCCCTATTTTCGGAAGCTGCCAGATAAAGCCCTTGAAGGATATTTGTTCTAAGGATGCATACACAAGGCAGCATCTTTGGCAGCCCGAATGTTCGTTGTGTGCAACGACTTCATATGCGGCATAGGACACTGAGACGACTTCGACGTCCTATTCTGATGATTTTTGCTCTATGCTTTGTGACAATAGAGAACGGCAGCTTGGGACAAGCATCTTGTCACGAGTGGCCAAGATGTCGGACGCTTATCTTTCGCAGAATATGTGGGCAGGAGGAGCCAGTCTGAAGCCTTGCCGCTAGATGACGACACTAGCCACTAGCCGTTGGATGCTTAATCGCTTGCGCTGATCAGGAACGCTGTTGCAAAGCGACGGCGGAGGACAGGGCTTTTGTGTTTCGGCGATGGGGACACATGCTTTCTGAGAGACTTAGGGTGGCTGTGAGCCGCAGGGAAGACTCGTTCGTGACGCAAGGAATGCAATGATCACGGCGGCTTACGGACGTGTGAGGCAGGGCGTTTACCGTGACAGGAAACACAGGAACAGCGCGGAAGAGTTGTAAGTCACTCTGTTGAGGTGCCCGCCAAGACGCCCCTGCTCACCCAAGTGGAGTCCTTGGGGTCCCAACCTTAGCCTGAGGTGATATGTTGCGCCGACATTGTACTTCGGCCGAAGCTTGAAGCAGATGTACCATAATTCCTATAGTCTAGGGTCATTGGGGTAATGCACCGTTTGCATCTAATTTCAAGCTGGTGTCTGACCTGCGGCATGGTTAGTAGCTGATGGCAGGATGCCTGGGTTGAAAAGACAGAAGCAACAGTTTCATCCGTTGTCGAACCTATGTGGCTTACCTAAAACGTTACTCACTCTATGCCGTGTGCAGCTGACACCGAGTGTTTAGCTTCGAGGCCCGCATCGCTGACTATATCCTGGGAGCCGCAAGAGTGCCCCGGGGTCTGCAGCACTTCTGTGCTCGTCGCAGCGGCAGCACCGTCCGAAGTAAGGGTATATGCAATGTCGCAAGTGAACCAGGTACCTGGCTGGGTGCTCAGATCAGTTGTCCGACGACGTGGAAGTCTGGTGGTACGTCGCCCGTCGTACGGCCGTCCGTCGAAGGTCGTCCTCGTTGTCTTCGCTGGTCCCAGCGGTCGTCGAGTGTCGTCATCAGCAACGTCGTCGTTGCTGATGTTGTTGATGTCGATAATGTGACATGTAGGCCAGCTGTGTGACGAAGCAATGGAGAAGCCGCATTGCTGCAGATCGGCTACTCCAGCTGCCAGTTCCTGGAGTGGCGCGTTGCGATTTCACAGGCAGGGGTGCATGAGGCAGAGACGGAGCGAAGGTCTCCTAGTCGGTGCAAATCCCCTGAAACCCTCCAAGGCCCAGGCCCAGACAATCCCAGACAGCTATAACTTGCAAATTGTCGGATTTGCTTCAGCCCGCTGTCGAGGTTCACATCTACGGCGAGGGACAATGGACCCGAAAGGGTCGATAGTTTTGCTACACTGTCAGTGTGCCACCTGCCTGCTGTTCGAGGATGAAGCCCCGTCGCATCAGCAAATTCAACTTGCGCGCAGGATCTGGATGCGGGAGTGTGACACGCGAGATTACAACAAGAGGCTCGCGATATCCCTGTCACGGACTTTTTTACTCAAAACCCTTAGTTAAAGTGTACCCTAAACCCCCAAGCCGTAAAGCCCTAAAAAAATAGCCCCAGGCCCTGAAGGGCTCCCTTAAGGTTTAGGGTTCAGGGTTGTTCCTTTAAGGGTTCCCAAAGGATGATCTACCATCCCCCCGAAGGAGCTGCACGATCGAGAACCTCCGCAGCTTGACGGACTACAACGTCCGGGCCGGGCAACGCCTTCGGTTTCCATGGTCCCTAAACCCCAAACCTTAAACGCTAAAAGGTAGCCGTAAGTGTGCCTGCCCAATACGGGCTGAGAGAGCCTAGCGTGACCTCAAAAAGGCCCTCTAAAAAAGACCCTAAACCCTAAACGACTACTAATGGTATAGTATATTATACATTGAATGAAAAATGGTGCAGTCAATAGTACAAATGGTCATTACAACAGTCACAATGGTTCACGGTGCTAGATGACATCGGGTTTCTAGCTGAACCTCAGGCGTGCTACGCTCGTGCGTCGATGTCTTCATCCTCTATGGATGTGACAGGTGTGGGCGCAGTGTACGGTGGTGGAACTTAGCTCATATCCCAACAGAACGACGGTGGCCGCCCGAAGCTTAGTACAGCACAGCTTCTTCAGACTGAGCCAAAGCCTGCTGCTATTGTGGTACTTGGCTTGCGGTTGCTGCTTGCTAGCTCGGTAGTAGGCTTCGATGCATCCCCCGGTCTGGAGAGATCTCCATTTGAAGCTGCAGTTGCACAAAACAGTGGGAGATGAGATGTGAAAGTTGCAGTGGCGGCAGCAAGCGAAGTAAAATAGTAGCTGCACGACATGTCTGACAGAAACATTGTGCGGTTTTAGCAGTACCTAAGTACTCAGCAACTCTAAACCCTAAATCCTGAGTAGTCTAAACATTATAAAACCTAAATCCCGAAATGCTGAACTTTATCATTTTGGACAAGGTTGGGACCCGGCCAATCCCTGCCGTTCCGCCGTCTGCGCTCTTCTGCACAGGCTACTGATTTGACGGTGTAGAGAAAGCAGTGCAGCTCTTCTTGCTGGAGTGGTGGAAGGTTGTCATGCGTTTCTGGAGCAAGTTGTAGTTTCGACAAGTTTGGACTTCTGGGAGAATTGGTCGGGGTGTGGCCCGTCCCGAGTGAACTTTTCATCCCTCAGCTGCTGAACAGCCCTAAAGTCCTATCTCGTGAAGATCCGCAGTCTTGTGCTTCTCACTTCCAACCCCCAGTGCAAACACCCAAGCCCCGCATCCTAGCCTTTCAGCCTTCAGAACCCTCGCAGTCGAAGTTCCTCACATCTCTTCACTAGCAACTTTCCTTTCAGGACATGATCTCAGCATAAGGGAAGCGCTTAAGCTCATATTAATATGGGCCTCTACCTATAGATCCCGATGCGTACATCCGAAACACTGCATGTTAATGCCTGGTTCCGAAACCCTAAGCCCGTAATCTCACACTCTAAACCGTGAGTCCTAAACTCCACAGACAGCGACATTCTATTCCCTGAATCCTGAAAGAAATCCTACAAGCTTTAAACGCCTAAGCCCTCCAGCTTCCGAGATTTGAACGTCCCCTCACCGACTGCCCTAAACCCTAAACCCTTTTGCAAAGGTTTGGAGCCGCTTCGCTTCTATGCGCCCCGGTCATCTCAAGAAAGGGCTAAAGTATAGCTTATCTTGGGACCCTTATTGTCTGTGTGTGTGTGGGGTGTTGCCTATGTATCTGTGGATAAGGAGTTTCTTTCCATGTGTGCGAGATCTTCCAAGATTTGGGGGTTTTGTGTTGCAGCATCTTTCGTTCTTTAAAATCCTATCCTTCTTTCGTTGCACGTCCCTGTGCCTGTTCATTCGGCAGCTCAGTCGGTTTTTGGGGGGCTTTCTGACTTTTTCCGAGGCGGATTGGTGGGCAAGTGATCCAGAGGACCCGTGCGTCTGGTGGGTCGGAAGACTTGCACCTTGTTTTTATGGCGTGGCAAGCACCTTAACCGGGACCCTAGCTGAGATTATGATGCAAGGTGTGAGAGCCTGATCGTGAATCATGTGAGCCATGCTCGCAGGACTGCGAGTTTGTAGCCTGGGAGCTTGAGGCGCAACTCTTGCCGAGGTCGGTGGGCTGCGTCCTTGTTGGGGCTTTTAGGTAGGGCTGGTGTTGCATCCTTTATATTCTAGTATTGTACAGTATAGTAGTATGATGCAAATCGGAGCTGGCTGCGCCAGGACCGCGGGATTCACCGCGGATGGCCTTTTTGAGGGGGCAGCTCCTGGCGGTGAGTATGAAACGAAGTGCGTGCTGTGCCCTCGAAGCAAAGAGATGGATACTGTACTGTACTCTTCTGCGCCATACAATTCCATGCCATACTATGCTACAGTATACTATATCATACTGTACTATACCAACGCTTCCGTTCATGTGGCCGGTTTCACCCCTTCGCCCCGATCTGAAGAAAGTTTGTGTACGAGGTACGACCGAGACTTGCGGGCGTGGTCCCCAGTCCTGCTTCAAGCGCTCTTGCTCAAAGTGGGCCACTTGAGTCTCGTATCGCTTGCCCACGTGTGGAAGGATCCACATAAGCGCAGCTCATGTCTCAGGAGTGCTGGGTGACAGATCTGCTCGCGGATCGTGACTACAAGATTCGAGCCGACTCCTCAAGTGACCAGCATGGAGGCATACCACTGTGGGGCATTTTGGTATGCAGCACTAAGGCAGCTTTGAATTGTTGGATGTCTTGCTCTCTGAGGTTAGAGAAACCTGCACCAATCCCCTGGCCAACAGCGAGTTCTTTGTAAGGCAGGCAGCGACAGGATGTGCACCATGCGTAAGAGTCATCCGTCTGTTGCTTCACGAGCCTGCTGCAGGTACCAAGAGTGCGCCACACTGACCATGCCAGCCTTCAATCCAGAGAATTTGACCCATTACAACGAAGACCTCTACACGTTCGAGGCTCCGACCGGCCATGCCGCCTCCCTGTGCTCTGCCACACTCACCTGGGACTTCGGGCAGGTGAGCTGGGATCCTGGTGACCCAAAGGCGCGGGCTTGCTGCGATGGTCCGGGAGTGTCCAGGAGCTGAAGACACCCCACAAATCAGGAGGTTGTCGGCATAGGATTTCCAGCATTCCCAGGTTGGATCAGGAACCTTGCGGCTTCATCTCGAAATGCGCGCTATACTAAGACCCTAAAGAACCGCTGTGCTCCTGCCCTGTCCTGGTGTGCACTTTCCAGCGCAATGTAGGACCCGGAGCAGCCCGTTGACATAAAGCATACGAATCACCAAGATACGATGTTGTATAATCCTTGGTAGCAATCCTTCTACCTCGCACGGCCAGATCCTCATGTCTCAATGTTCTTCCAAATGCATTGTCTTCCCTTGTGCTGCCAGGCTTGCATCTTCCAGTATTGGGAAGTTCAGGTGAAGGCCTGGGCCCCCAGAAAGGGTCGTAGCAACAGTGGAATGCTCGCCAACTGCATAGAACAAAAGATGAAAGGACAAAAGAAGGACAGAACAAGTACAAAAATGTTCAGCAACTCGCAAGTAAACCTTTAGATTGAGATGGCTAAAGCCAAATTAAACGCAGATGCCAAGAACCATGTAAATCGATACATCCACTCACATGCATACCCATCCCATCCCATCACATCCCATCCCATGCGTGCAGGCATGCGTGCAGGCATGCATGCACGCATGAATGCACGCCTCCGAATCGCCTGTGCAAAGCACAGAGCAATTGCAAGTATACACAACATGATAGTGTCACTGCTATCATTCGCAGTGTATTTTCAGAGTCTCGGGTTGAGAGTTCCTGTCCATCAAAGAAGAAGAAGTGTGATTGGAGAGTTGTTTTGCCGTGTTTGCTTGGCTGTCTCTTCAGAGCAATTGTGGTTGTTGGACAGTGACCTATGCAGCAGCCATTCTATGTTGTCCTCTCTGATCCGACAGGTTAACGATACGGACTGGCCCGCAGGTGCACTCCGCAGTCCTTGTTGTATGAGTATGAGCGCTGGAGAGACGAGGCCGTCGCATCTTCTAGAAGGAGGGGTCCCTTGGTCACCAGGTGATGATCCACCGGTTTTTGGATGCCGGGTCCTTCAGCGGAGTACAACGAAGTGCATGGCCACGACCCCAGCGCCGATGCGATGTTTCTCCTGCAAAAACCGGGCGAGTTTTTTTGCAGTCGGACTGCATCGATTCGAAACATTGTGACGACTTCCGATATTTCTTCAGCGCACTTTAGAGTAGAGATGCCGATCTTGCAGACTTGACACGAGGTTCATGTCGGCCTGAACAGTGGCAAAGCCTTCCAAGTGCGGATGCGCCTGGCCCCCGACGACCAAAAGCAGTTAGAGATTCCAAGGCTGGTGCTGTTATGCAAAGCCACACTACCTCCAATGACCGACTTCTTGGTGGTAGTACAGTCCCGCACTCTTCGAACTTTACGTGTTTGCCACACAGTGCTTCTAGTGCAGTGATTGCAAGATCCTACTCCAGACCCACTTCCTCAGATGGGAGTTTTGGAAATAGGGGACCCTAATATAGTACCCTAAACAGTAGGATCCTTATAGTAAGCATCCCAAAATAAGGTACACCTAATTTTCGGAAGCTCTAAACCCTTATAGAGCCTGGGTAAAAGGAACCCTTATAGTAGGTTAGTGCGCTTTTTTTCACTGGTAGTTTGGGCTGCTTCAAGGCTTGTTTTAAGTCGTGGCAGTATACGGTTGATGATATAAACCCTGCATTACCTTAAGGACCCTAAACTCTGGGAATTATGGGATATTTCTTATTATGGGTAATGCAGGATGTATATCATCAACCGTAGTACCCCGGAATTTTCGGAAACTCCTGCGGCCCCAAATCCAGGTGAGGCCTGCACAGTTCGGCGACTCTACACGGACTGGGCACCTTGGTTCGTGCGCAGAGAGTTATAAATTAGTCATACCAATAACAATAATATTAATATTAATATTAATACTAATCATAATATCAATAAGAAGAATAATAGTAATGATACGAATAATATCAAGAATGACAATAATTTTACGAATATTGTCAATACTAAAAGAAGCAACAATATCATCGCCCCCTTTCGTACTTGTACGACTGCCTTCGGAGAGTCATGCGCCTGCTGTGCATGCTGTCCTCGGTCCGCTATGAGCTCTCGGTGATGGTCTTCCAAGGTCTACTACGATGAAGTGGTTGAAACAAGACTGCCGGTGCATCGCTCGGCTGCGTGTGCATTTGTGTTTTGTTTGCCTGGTGCTGCATGTCTCCAGCATGTTCCACAGCAAACGAAGGTGCCTGCCTCAATGCCGGAGAACCTGACGGCCAACTCCACATCACCAAACCACGACATCTCCTTCGCGTCGCTGGATGTTGCGTGGGCCGGTCTCTTAGCGTTTCCAACATCCCGAAGCTCAAAAGATCTGACTTTGAGCTGTTGGAATAGGGTTATGGGGTATATTATACCATAAATAGAATAGAATCAGGACCCCCAGCAGAGTCTGCCCAGGATGCACACCCTCCGGGCGAGTGCATTTTCACGGGCTGGAAGGCGGGGAGCCGTTGCTCGATGCGTCTTGTCATCAGGGGCGAGGGTGCTACTTGACAGACCAGCCAGAGGGCGTCTTCGTGAAGCCATCAGATGTTCCTTGCAGTCTTTTCCGATTCCTGCGGGAGCTCAAAAATTCTTGCAAATCTGGTCATGATGCATTGTCATGTAAACGGCATGCTGCTAGGGATTTTGGGCGAGCGTGCTGGAAGGAACACCATGCCTTGTGGTTGGTCTTTGATTTCGCTTGTGCCAGGTGGAGACTCGCATTCATGATAGAAATCGCGATTGGGAGGACAGTGGGTCAGCGAGAGCAGTCGGAGTTAGTGGGGACTGAACCTAGGTCCGTCTGACGGGCTGGCATGGCTGTCAGAAGATGCGCAGGAGTCCTCCGAGTGCAGGGCCAACCCTCGTGAGCCCTTCGAGTGCCAAATCACACAAGGATTGCACGGCACCCAGAGCCTTCATCAGCACATCTAGCAGAGCTGCAGAGAGGCTTTGAGTGCATGTGCCTGAGGCTGAGCAACGTGTACTACGACATGCGGATAACGGAGACTTGTGTGCGGCTCTCTGAAGTACAGGACAACTCGGATCATGTCGATATACACTATTGCAGACCTCAGGGGCTGTAGGGATGTCAGACGGCATAGGAGTGCATCAGGGGTGTGCCGTACGATAGTTGTTCTGGTAGAGCAAGCCACTGGACTCGTGCTTGGAGGAAGGATAGGCTGGGAGTTAGTCTTCGCATCCTTTGCCCCGGAACCTTCCCGGAACAGCTGAGCATTGGTGTCCTGCGCCATAACTTAGCTCGCCCCGGGTCGCTCACTGAAGGGCCAAATCCTGACATAGCACAAGTACCATGTCAACTGCGAGGTTGATCCAAATGCACTTGGAGACACGCTGACAGTTCTCGACATTGCACGGACCCGTCCTGTTCCAGCAGCTGGGTGCCAAGCGACGATGTGCCGCTGGTAGCAGACACGGTGAAGCAAAACTGCTTTGAGTCCCATTTGCCGACCGCTTGTTCCACCGGTTCACTTTCCGAGGTTGCTCCCTTCATCGTGTCCGTCTATGCAACAAGCGCGCGGTCGCTTGCCCGGGGCTTCAGCTCTGCCTGCTTGGACCAGAGAAAGTACATTCAAGATTAACAGGATTTGCAGAAACAACGGTAGCAGTAGTAGCAGCAGCAGCAGCAGCAGCAGGAGGAGGAGGAGGAGGAGTAGTAGTAGTAGTAGTAGCGGTAGTTGTAGTTGTAGCAGCCGTGGTCGTAGTCGTAGTCACAATCGTAGTCGTTGGTCGTGGTGGTGGTGGTGGTGGTGGTGGTGTTGGCAGCAGCACCGGCAGCAGCGGCAGCAGCAGTGTCAGAAGCAGCGGTAGTGCAGTAGAAATAACGTACATACATGCATGCATACACAGTCACGGGCAGACGTACTTGCACACATGTATCCATGCACCTGTACATCCATCCGTCCATCCATCCATCCGTCCACGTACATGCATTCATACGTATATACGTACATTCCAACCCGCACATACATGCATGCATACCACCCGCATATATATATATATATATATATATATAATTCCACAAATATAGACAGATATAGTTATAAATATGAATATAAATGCAAGTACAAATATATATATATATATATATATATATATATATATATATACACACACACATACACACACACACACACACACACACACATATGATACATAGCGCACAAGTGCGAGGCAGGAGGCTTTCTTTGGACCCACATCCTGCTCAGGGAGTGAGGATCTCACAGCGGGCAGCTGGCCAGTGCGTGTTCGAGGCGACGTCGCTCGCTTTCGGGGTCGTGGCCTTGCTTGCTTTTTGTCTCGTAGCAGGCCTACAAGATGGAGTGGAAGATGCAGGGATGGGACTATTGGCTGTCGGGGCCACAGCAATGAAGTCTCTGCGGTGGGGAAGGCAGCGGGTTGCCATCTTGCTCTAAGGCCATACGATGATTGCACGCCTCGCAGCACCACGACTTGCTCCGTTTCTGGCTTCCCTGCTAGCCAGAGTTACTACACGGCGTGGGGCTTGGTGTGCGGTTGGTGGTTCGCCGTCTTCGTGTTCAATGTAGCCATTGCCAGCTGCTGCAAGGTGCGGATGAAGGAGAGCTGCACCGATCCGATGGCAGACAGTCCTTGGGTCGAGTGGCCACGGCCTTTCAAAGATTAGGCGAATGGGGTTCTAGCTTTCTGCGGCTTCAGCTGCAAGCATTGTCAGCTTGAGGCCTGACTTCGTCTTGACGTGGCCAGAGCCCGCGCAGATCCCGAGCAATTTCACGGCCGTGGAGCTTACTGCTTACAACATGCCGGGGCCCCCCAGGCATCTTTGTCACAGCTTTTCTACGGTGTGCTGTGGTGTGGTTGTCTGAGGACTTTCACCTTCGAGCCGGGTCTTGGCCTGGACTGTACCTGGTCTTCTTGGGAGGTGCCGCACCACATAGGCTTACTCAGATCACACACGACAGGGTAAGCGATCTCCCCAAATGTGCAGCCAAACAGGTGCAAATTCTGCAAGGCGATGCCGGCCCGCCAGAGCCTCGTGCATGATTCTTCTTATGCTCTTGCTCCCTTGGGTCTTTTTTTGGTCTTGTACACCGTAGACCAGAAAGAAGTCGTCGTGCGGCAGCAGTACAAGCTTGTGAGGGTACGAATCCACAGCCTAAGTCCCACCCAGCATCGTGCGGCCATGGCCATCGTTCCCAGCTCGGCGGTGACGCTGGCTGGTGCCGAGCAGGCGGTGCGTGCCGGAATAGCTGCGGCTGAAAAGTCAGGTGGGCTGGGTACAGCTGGTTGTGCTGTTTTGTTTGGCTAGAGGCAGAGGTTGTGCCCGAGTGCATGCTTCCAGCTTGTGTCAGACCAGACCTTGTCAGAAACTGCAGAGGTTGGAAAGTCGCTGTCGCAATCTGCGATGCTGGTGGAAACCTGATTGCGCTGCATCGCATGGACGGCTGCATGCCGATTGGTGCGGAGATCGCCACGGAAAAAGCTCGATCCGCGATCCTCTTTGCCCGGGTTCCTTCGCCTCAAAGATTAAATGATTCACTTAACAGTTTGATGAAGCATAGCTTTTCCGTTCTAGCTTCATTTGTAGCTTCAAGCATCCCAGGAGACGAAGCTGCTGGAAGGGGCGGTGAATGGAGAGAAGTCCAATGGCGGAGAGCGTGCTGCGCTCCTCACGTCCGGCCGTGTCCTCATGGAAGGTGGGAGTGCCCGAAAATTAGGGGCACCTTGTTTTTGGGTCCTTAGAATAAGGATCCTACTATTTAGGGGACTGCATTAGGGTCCCCTGTTTTCTGAAACTTCCAGGTGGAGTGCCCATCATTGACCCGAGCCACGGTCGGATCATCGGAGCTTGCGGTGTCTCGGGAGTGAAGCCCAACGAGGATGCAGCTGTTGCCAAAGCTGCAGTTGAATGCTTGATCCCAGCATCCAAGCTCTGAAGACTTTAACGCACTTCCATGCACTGCCGCCCCACAGAGGCCCCAGTGAACAGTGTTAATGGCCAGATTTTCCCATGGAGTTGTTGAAGCGCTTTGCTCACCGAATTCCCCCCGAGCAAAGGGTAGACTCATGTAGGCCCCTGCAGACACAGACAGAAGAGTGCAGGAAAAGAAGAACGTTTGAGTCTTTTGATTTTTTGGCAGAAATCCTCCGAGAGCACCGGCTGCCTTTTTGGGATTGTGTTCAAGGCTGGCAACGGAGTGGATGGACCTGACGGAATGCTACCTGCCTTTCCGCGAGAATGCCTGTGGGCCCAGACTTCAGAAGTTGCCAAGCGCAGAGCTGACGCTGAGACCTAGAGGTCACCTGCAGTGTCACCAACCTTCAGAGCTTCACGGTCTATCAGGCTGTGTGGGATGTGGGATGTTCATTGGGATGTGATGCTCCGAAGCTTTTTTCAGGTCCGAGTGAGGGAGAGGTGCACGGACTTCATCTACGACAGTGACTGGGGCTACTCGGACCCCATCATGACCACCATGCCCGTTCAAGCCGGCATGCCCGTCGTCCTGACCTCAGCTTCACGGCGGGGGCTCTGTGACTCTACCGCCCTGGAACGCAGAGCCTCTTCTGAGGACATGCGAATCGTTCCCAACTCCATCACGGCCTTCTTTTTCGACGTGTCCTGGCAGGTGCCGCTGGAGTTTCGCCGAGAACAGCCGCATGTTTTCTGACTCCTACGACCAGCGAGCCAGCTCACTAAGTGAATTCCCCTAGGCGTGAAGTGTTTCTAAGAGGCGTTTCGTCAGGGTGTCTCTTTGGGGATCTTCACCTGCTGTTTTCTAACTGGAGATCGAGGCCTCAGGCACGATACCGCAGCTCCGTTCATCTGCTGGAAAGATGGCTCTTTGTTCTACGTTTTTCTGAATAATGTGTAGCACCCACGGAGACGACTCCTTGACTACTCTGCATGACTTGGTGTGGCGTCGGCCTCACCTTCGGATCCGCGAAACACCAGGGGACTTAGTAGGCAAGGTTACAAATACCCTAATTAGGGTTATAAGTAAATATAAGTATAGTTATCTTTTTTAAAACTAGAATTTCGGCTTTTCAGGCCGGAGCCAGTGGGCAGTGCATCTTCAAGGAGTGGGTGGGGCGCCCGGTGCTTTCGAGAAGCAGGCTGCGATTCACTGCGACAGGGAGCAAGTGGGTAGGATCTGAGCAGATCAGCTGCGAAACTTACCTATCGCACCTCTCGGGTCTGAGTGATTTGTGGCGCGCTTCCGATTGCAAGAACCATCGTAATGCGGTCGGCAGAGTCCCCTGTTTTGCAGCGTCCCGACCTTCTTCCAACTGGCAGGTTGGAGCCCGATTTCGTACCAAACCCTCAAAACTTTGCTGTGGGTCCAGTCACGCGAACTTGTAAGCCAATCCGACTTGTAAGTAGCCATGCAGCCATGAACCATCAAGTAAGACCTGAGGTCATGGAGGTGTACCAGACCTCTCCAGATCCCGAAGATTGGGCCTTCGCGCCGCTGCCCTCGCTCCAAGATCCTCCGGGCGTCTGGGTGACGGGCTCAATTTCCTCAATGACTTGCGGTGTCACGAGTTCAAAGCGAGCACGAGCACTGCAACACATAGAGCAACAGCAGCAGACACAGTTGTCATGGTCATGAGCCATACCCGTAGCACTAATCCAAAGTCGATAGTAACACAACACGAGCGTTTGTCGCAGTTGCACAAGTAGAAGTAGCGGCAAGATAGGAAGAGTGTCAGCTTCAGTATTGATAAAGGCAAAGGTGACAATAAGCAAGGAGGTGATCATACCAATCATCACAACCAGGGAAGGTGTGTCACTGCACCACCGCTGCACCACCACTGCACCACCACCGCCACCGCCGCCATCAAAGCCACCACTAGCACCACCACCACCGCCACCACCAATGTGCTTAAGACAAAAAGCATGGACAGCAAGAGGGGAAGTAGAAAAACATGGCAGCATGAGGTTGCAGGAGGCAGGCTTTTGAGCTTTTAGGAATGTTAGCGTCAGGATTCGTGAGTCGCCGAGGGCTCATACTTGTGGACGGTTCCCTGCTAGTTGACTATGACTCTCTGTTTATAACGGGCACTGGAAGGGCAAGCATGATCAGAAGAGGTTCTGGATTGCGGGCGTAGCTGGGATCGTTGCTCAGTGAGCCATGCTCGCAGCTGTCGGGTTGTATCGCGAAAGCCGTTTGCTGCATGGCTTGTTGAACTATCCGCAGATCAACAATTTTGCTTTTTTCTGGGGAGGTGCTCGGGCTGAACCTGAGACCCTAAATCCTACATCCTGGAGAGCTGCAGCTCAAACCAGACCGCGAGGCACAGAAGCCCCAAAGCGTTAAACGGTCCTATAGGACTCTGATCCATGAAGGCTGAGCCCAAGCCAAACAGCTCGCACGCAGGTGCGGCATGCCTGTGGTGCATCGCGATCGGCTCCGATCTGTCGTCCAGGCCTGCTGGGGTTTTGGTGTTTGGGGTTCTTCTTGAGGGTGCCGGACCATGTAGGGTATTATGGGAGCCGTTCTTGAGGAGTCATGCCACTCCTGGGAAGTTTATGTCGGGTCCGGGACAGAGCCAGATCGGCCATGATCCCATGTAGGGAGATTCCGATGTAGGCCTCCGAAGTAGACTTTCGCAGTTAGGGCGGCCTCTCTGGTGTTCTTCGTTTCGCTTGGGTGTGCTAAATTTGGGGTTGGCAAGCTTGATGCTCGGGAGGAGAAGTGACATCGTGGACACTATTGAACACTGAAGTGTAGGGTTCTGCACATTCATGCTCGATGCCCATGTGTTTCCTATTTCGTCTCGTGATGGCGAGAAGACTTCCTCAACGGTTTTGTCATCTGCTGACATTCACTTCCGAAGGGATATTCCTAAACAAGGCAAATGTGTGGAAATCGATTGCCTTGCTTTCGCAGTCCATCCTTCTAATAGCAACTTCCTTCGATTTGGAAGGTCTATGGGCTCCTGATGTTCTTGCCATTTCTTGCCATGGCTCATGTATTGTTTGGGTCCGATCTTTTTGAGTGTCGGATCTTTGATTTGGCGTGTTGAGTTGTCTTGTTATCTTCTGGGCCTTTGTTTTTTCTTAGCTTTGGTTAGTAGGGAATGGAGGACTGGGGTAGAATTATAAGTAGTATTACTACCATTCTTCCCTTCCCTACTAACCAAAGGTAAGTTTGTGAGGCTCAAGGATCCTGCTCCTGGGCGTTCGGCCCCGGCACCCCAGACCCGTTTAAACCCTACGTCATGCGGAAGCATTTGTTAGAGCGTTTATGTGTTTCAGCTGTTTTGTGGCAACTTGCCTTCCTCTTTTTGTGCTGTGCTTTGTGAGATTGGAGAGGGGTTCCTCTCTCATGTTCAGTCAACACGGATGATACTAGAAACCAACAGGAGAATACTACGTATAATCAGAATAACCATACGAAGAAGAATAGTAAATGTAAGAATGAAAGCAAACACAGAAAAGTATTACTAACACTATTATTATTACTACAAATAATATGAATAATAACTTAATAATAACAATAATAGTCGCAACTACTCTAACTGCACTACTACCCCAGAGCCCCCAGGCGACTTGCCGCGGACGCCAGGGGCCTGGTGTGACTTTATAAAGACTGCTGGAGATTTGGTGTGAAGATTACCACCATCAGAGGGGCCATTAGGGGTTCCTTTACGGGTTCCTTTAAGAGGGGTACGGGGAGGGGGTAGGGAAGTATATTTCCTGTTATAGACCTTATTAGACTCTTATCAAGACCTAATTAGGGCCACTAAGGCCCCCTTCCTCCCCCTTAGCCCCTTAAGGGTTCTTACTCCGCCATGTTGTGCACACCATCTGGGCTCAATACAGGGTTGGCTCAGGCAAGTGTTCTGCATCCCTGTGTGAGTCGTGAAAACTTCTTCTTGGCTTCTTTGTCAATTCGATATAGAAGCTTTGCAGTTGTGCCCGCATGTCAGAGCCGCGGTGACCAGCTGCATGGTTTTCCAGCGTACGCTGCAGGCTGTTTCCGGTAAGTGATTTCCCAATCCCCAAACCTCACTCTGCTGTAACAACTATACTATTCTTACTGATATGCGTATTCTTGCGAGCACAAAAAACAGTATGAATAGTACTGGTTATAGTAAGAGGAACCAGAATAACAATTGCAATAAAAAGTGCAATAATAGTCATCACAATGAACGAATGATAATACTGACAGCAAGGTGTATGCAGATATGTTCGAGTGCTGTTCCTCTCATGAATAGAAGCAGAAGTATAATAGTAATATTGATACTCGAAATGATGTGATTATGTCGCGACTCTTCTTGTTAGTATTGCGGTGCGTATTCATGTAAACATTACTTGCAGCCGTCAAAACCGATACCGAGTTGTGACAATAATAGTTATTGCTACTATCATTGCTATTTGTTTGGCAGCTTGTGGACCCGAGGCTGAAGCAAAACTCCACGTATGCCGTGCGTGTTCAGGCCGACAGGGTTTGAGGAAGTAAAGCCTCAGGTTCAGAAACAATGGATAATATAGGGGCCCGAAAAATGAGAGAACATGTTTTCTTCGAGGGTTCTTTAAAGGGCTAGTAAAAGGGTTCTACGATAGGGGTGTTAATGATGAAACTGGGGCTTTGGGGTGTATCATAGAAACTTATATTGAGGAAGCCTAAGAAATTGAATAAAAGGAATGGCCCTCGTGACTCGGAATCTGTTCTGACTCTGAAAATATTGATACTCTAGTGGTTCATTCTTAAGATAACCCAAACGGCATGCTGAAATCCTTTTTTTTGCATGCCTTCTGCCTGTCCTGAGCACCGGGGTCAGGCTTGTAGATAAAGGCTTGTTGCGTCACCTTGTGCCCAAGACCAATAAGCCAGCAGAGCATGCACAGGAGGTCTGAGGGAGCGAAATTGCAACTGTTCAGTAGCAGCCCGGGTCGTGTGATAGGTATCGTGCACAGGCTGACATGTTGGCGTGCCGCGCAGGAAACCTGCACAGACCCGAATGCCAATGGAGACTTCACGATGCTGTCGGAGAACGTCTCTGCCCAAGTCACGTTTTGATGATTGATAGTTTCTAATTGGATTCCCCACACACTGCACGATGAGCGTTAAGCCTTGCAAATCGTCAGCTGCAAATGCTATTTGCATTTCAAGCTCCTGGTTCAGCGAGGCAACGACGATCATTGCCACGATTCCGGCAGATCCACCGGAAAATCTCACTGTGAGCAATGAGACAGTGGAGTACTCGGACATTCCAGATTCCTCGCATTCTGTTTTCAAGCTTTTTCGCGTGTTGCTCCGGCTGGCCGACAGCTGCACATGAGAAAGAACTCAAGGCCTACACGTTTCTGTTGGAGTTCGATGCGGGAGAACCGTACGTGGGCTCCTGAGCAGATGCGTGGGCCTCCCATCTGGTCCGGTCCTGCTTTCCTGGCTTGTAGTTCTGCAGGCGTTAGGGCCACCTAAGACTTGCCACTCAAGGCTTTCGAGAAGTTGTGGGGAGATTCTTCTTGCAGCCTTCCGACCTGTTCATCTTGCCTCAACCTCAATCCAGCGAATAGCTGACGAATGCCAGCAGTGTGCCAAGGACTGCTACTTCACCGGCTGGGCTGTGGAGGCACCTCGGGAAGATGCACTGTTTCGGGAAGCTGGCTTAGAGAAATCTCCAGAAGTTGGGACTTGGGACTGTCTGAGGACTTTTCCTGTAAAGCCTTTCGCAAGACCTTCTATGCTTGACGGTGATCCTGGCATTTGCGTTGATGGAGTCTTGCATGGGCATGGCTTGGCTTGGCTCGTTCGAAGAGCATGCAACGGGCAACGAGTTCCTGCGAGGTTCGCGAGAACTGGACGGACGGCAATTTTAGCAACGAGACCAACTACACAGCCACTTGGTCGGCGGTCTCGCGTGGAATATGGAAGCCGTCATCGCACTGTTTGATTGTGGTCATAGCTCTTTGTGCCAGAAGTGAAAGAAAAAACAGATAAGCAACACGGCACTGGCAAGACTGCGAAGAGTGAGCAGTCACAGCGACAACATGTGAGCTCGGTGTTCCTGTAGCTGTCACCGTCGCCGCGAACTTTGCTGCAAAATTGTTGACAAGCTGTCCATGACGGCAGAAAACAGCACTACACGTTCTAGTACTGCTTGCCATGATTAGCTTCTCATCTTGATATTGCGAAGAGTGTGACGATTCAAGGAGTTGAACTATTCGCTCTGGGTGCCACGTGACGAGTGCAAGAACGAGGAGTCTCGGCGCGTGGAATCTTGTCGTTCTCCGAGTAGACGTTAAGCTGCATCCCTGCTTCCACCAAGCATTCCCAGCCGAAGAGTTGGCCTCGAACAGGAGGCTTTCCCTCGGAACCGCATGCGCCGCCGCCCGAGCACTGGACCCTTGCGCATTCAGGGGCTTCGCAGGGGTTCAGTTCAGCATCTGTTGAGCTTAGCTGGCGCAGAGTGGCAGAGGCATGCACCCATGCCTTAAACCCTAAACCCTACACTCCGACGTTGGAGATCTAGCAGAGGGAAAAAGGCATTCAAAAAAACACCCTAAACCCTAAACTCCTCAAGGTTGCGTCGTTCCAAGACTGCGGAAGCATTCGATCTACGACGCAAAGGCACCGGCTCTTTCGCTCGTGCCCCTTGTCCCATCCTTCTCACGAGGCCTCCCAGTGGGCCCTTCTTCCTTTTTGTAGTCCTGGGTTCCTTATGAAAAGTTACTCAATACCAAAAAGGGAGCCCGTTTTATTCCTAGGTTACTGCGCATCCTAATCCTAGTTTCAAGTCTTCAAGAGAATCCCATAAAGAACCCATGCAGCTCCGAAGCCGAAGCTCCAAATCCAGACCCCAAGCCCTAAACCCTGTTCCCAAATTTGGGAGTTTCCGAAAATGGGGGACCCTACTGTAACCCTAAATAGTAGGATCCCTATTATCGGGACTCCAAAAGACGGGACCCCAATTTTCGGAAACTCCCATATATAGAGCCCATAACTCAGACTCAGAGCCCCAAACCCCAAACCCCGACCCCAAACCCTAAACCCCTAAAAATAGTATACTAGACTTATGTGATACGCGTACTATAAATATGCTGTGGTATAGTATACTTGACCAGAACCCAAACCCTAAACCCTACAGCCCCTACCCAGCAGAGCCCGTGTAGCTCAGAGAGGTGCGGGAGACGTGCTACGATGGCTACACCGAGCTGCTGGACAGCGACTTCTCCTCGGAGCTGCCGGATCGACAGGCCCGCCTGCCCCCCCCGAACTTCGCGACATCCTTGAGTCTCATATTTGTATATATATATATATATCTAGTTAAGTTTCATGTTATATGTGTGCATATACATATATATATATATATATATATAGATACATGTATCCCACATATATATATATATATATATATACATATATACATACATACAGACGTACATACATACATACACATACATGCTTCCTGTGGCTCGAACATGTGCATTCGAGAGAGCAGACGATGCAAGGAATGCTCAGGGCCTAGGTAAAGATCATGCTGCTGGCTCCCTTGCTGCAAGCAGCCGGCCAGCCGCCCTGATGGCATGGCATGTCGCCTCCGGCGCTGGTGTTTGCTGCAAGCTGCCGGACTCTGGCTGCCTGGTTGCTGATACAAATCCATGAAGGACCGTCTTAGCTCCATGAGACCGCAGACGGCGCATGCAAGGGCCAAAGCTGTTTCGGTAGGCCCGGCATGCCAGGAGAGGCGCAGCAGGAGCCGCTGTCGGGTCATCCATGCTGGGGAGCAGACGCCGCCGACTCTTCGGTGGCCTCCCGGCCGCTGACGCCGCAGCGCTGTTGCGTGAATCCACCATTTGGGGATGCGACTTGTTGGATGAATGACCTCGACTTTGACCTCTGCTGCACCCGCTGGCTTCATCCACGCGTGCCGGAGCCGGTGCACCGGCAGCTGAAGGAAGACTTGGCAAAGTGCATGCAAGGACCGGCTCCTGACACGCAGCCCAGCACCGAGTGCCGGATGTCGGCTTATGCTGCGATCACAGGTTCACCTCTCGGGCGTCTTCTTTGGTGTGCCATTGAAACAGCGCGCGTCTCCCGTGTCTTCGACGTGTTCATTGGCTCTGGTTGCAGTGCCGCCACTGCGGCAGCAGCCATGTCTGCCAGAAAGGCTAGCCCTGCTCTGCCCGTGCCTGTCGTGATCGGCTTCGAGGATCCGGAGCCTCAGCGAGCACAGAAGGCGCGTGCGGCGCTCGCCAGCTGGCGGGCGAGGCGGCTTCCGGTCGCCGGCACCGGTGAGCGAGAGCTCCAGCAGCTTCGTGCCGTGAGCCTCCGCCTGCGGAGCTGGGTGGAGGAGCGCTCAGGCGAGGCCCAGGCCTCTTTGGTGGGCCTGCTTAGAGGCCCAGCAGGGGACTTAGTAAGTTAAAACCCTACTTATAACCCACTAAGTCCCCTGGGCCTCGAAGCCTCTAAGTGCTGGCAGGGCCCCTGCGTCCCAGAAACGGCAGCTGCAGCGAGTGCTTGTGGAAGTGGGCCCTGGACTGCCCAGAGCGCTGCGTCTACTCCTTCGGGGCCGGGCCACCGCTTTTGCGGGTTCTTGTTTAGGTTCTTGCCATCATAGGGATCTGTAGACAATAATAGTATGTGCCTTCTTATGGTAGTAGTACCCAACATGTCCCTTATTATGGTAGCTTAAATTCGAAACCTTCAACAAGAATCCAGGCCATCGAGGCAGCCTGCGAGGCCTTGCGCGGCGTGGACCTGGTCTTCCTGGACTCCGATGGCTCGGCAGCGGATGGCTGGCTGGTGGAGTGGCTCCAGGCGTGTGGAAGCCGCGGTTTTGTTGCTTGTTGCTGGCTGCTCTGCATTCATCTGGGAGTTTCCGAAAATAGACCCCAAACAGTAGGATCCTTATGATAAGGACCACTAAAATCAGGTACCCCTAATTTTCGCAAACTCCCATAACTCCATTCCTTGCGAGGTGGAGAGGGCCTGCGCCCCTCGACTGGTACTGCTGCTGAACTTGTCTCTGCCAAATCATGGCGCTTGGATCAAGGATAGGAGTTAGGATTAGGGGGACCCTTGGGGATACAGACCCTCTCAATACGGTCCCCTTTAAGAGAGCCATAAGTAGGGTTAAGAAGGGTCCCTGTACTGCCTACCCGAAGGAGCGGCTTCTAGCTTTGGGCTACACCGAAATTTGGCGCGACGGCCTGCTGCTGAATCCAGGCGAATACCCAGAGTTTCGTTCTGAAGTCTGATCGGGCTTTCATGAACATTTTGTTCCGGGACAGACTGCAAAACCGAAGTTAGAGCATGTTATACTTGTCTAGGTCCCTGGGTGGTCTGCAACCTTGCTAGCTTTTCTGGTCTTTTTTCGTGCTTGCCTCAGATCCTTTTTCAACAATGGCATTCTCCGACGTGCGCCGTGTGCGGACGTGGTCGCTGTTGGCCTACACAGGCGCCAACCCCAAACTCAAAAAGGCTACCTAACGAGCCCCAGAGTTAAGGACGACATATATATATATATATATATATATATAATATATATATATAATATATATATATATATGTATAATATAATATATATATATATATATATATATATATATATATATATATAACACATATATATATAATATAACATATATATATATAATATAACATATATATATATATATATATATATATGTGAATGATCATAAGGCCTGCGATAGAGCAAATTCGTTTTTGAAGGGGCATGGGGCTCTCTGGGGCCATATCAACTCGCCACGATGTTTTGTCTATGGCAGTCTTGGTGTTGTTGAGCAGAATAGCGATGTCTTTGCCACTGAGTCTCATGGGCCTTTCGTGGAAGGCCTCAACGAGTCGTGCATTCGGCAAAACACCGACCGTGATGCCAACCCGTCAGGATCTTCGTGATTCCACAGCTGGGAGCAGATCTTGGCATATCTTGGCTTCGATGGGTACTGGTCATCGTCTAGGTGACTATGGCCAGGCGCAATGTCGTGGAGCTCACGGACAGCAGTCTGATTGTGCAGCTCAATGAGAACGCTCTCTTCAGCAATCGGGGTATGGTTGCGTATGCTGAAGAGGAAGACATTGACGCTTTGTGGGCGCGGAGCGACCGATGTCAAACATGGAGTTCGGCAGGACCGCTCTGCGATCTCTTCTTTAGGACTACCTGGGCCCAGGCCTGCCGGGCTTGATGGCAAAGAGGGCATCTCTCTCTCTCTCTTTCTCTCTCTCTCTGTGTCTCTGTGTCTCTGTGTGTCTCTGGAGTGCAACACAACACTGTGAAGGGCAGTTGATCATACGCCACTGGCCGTCCAAGTACGAGATCTCGAGCTTCACAGAGGCTCAGGAGACGGCCGCAAAGGATGCCACTTCGGGAGGTCCATCTGGATCGAGTCTCAAACCAGGCCTCGAGGAGAAACCGTGATGTTCAAGAGCGATAGCGTTCGCGGACTAAATGGACCCGGTGCGTGAGGCTGTGAAGCACACAAGGGTTTTGGAGTTGCCATGGAGGCGAAAGGGGGCCCGCCTTGCCTTGCTCTCGCTGGCGGAGTCTGAGCGTCAGACTTCAAGCCATGGACCTGCTGAAGTTGGTCAAGGCCACAACCAGAAGAATGGAGCAGCGAGCCTCCTGGCCATCCAGCATTCGATTGTGCACATGCAACATGCGGGGAATCCGAGACCTCGAGCACGGAACAGCCTGCTTGGGAAAGATTTGAAATAAGGGGTTGCTTTGGGCTTACCCGGAGAGTTGTGCTGGTATCCCGCTTGCGTCCACATCCATCATTACACTACCGTAGCCTTTTTTGCGCTTATAGTTAGCCGATAACCCTTAAAGGATCCCTGAAACGATCCCTTCAAGGGGCCCGTACAGAACCCCCCACAAAGGAGCCCTTATGGTCTTGCATTGCATGTCTCCTTACTGGCGTGATCTGTTTTAAGCCTCTTCAACAAGAAACCAGCAAAGGCTCGAAAATTGCCATGGGAAGCCCATGAGCGCAGGCCGAGACGCTGGTGCCGGTGGCAGCGACGAGTCCCTTTGGTGCGCGTCTCGGGTGGCTTTGGGCCTTGGCGAGTAGCTCAAGATAGGTGACCCTAGTACAGTATACCCTAAATAGTAGGATTCTTATCATAGTCTCCCAAATAGAAGGATCTTTCCGAAAATAGGGACCCTAATATAACCACGTAGACGTTGCGTCCTTCTTATTAGGACCCCAAAGCAAGGTACCCCCTTTCCTGCGAGTTAGCATTTGCAGTGCTGGTCGCTGCACCGACCGAGGCTTGGTCAGTTTGAGCCAGGGACCTTACAGCTTCTCCTTGGCCTGGTCTGCAGGGGATCCGAAGGACAGGCCGCTTCCTTACCTTTGGTTAGTCGGGAATGGAGGAATGGGGTACAAGTATAACTACTATTACTACCATTCTTACATTACTAACCAAAGGTAAACTTCTAGCAAGGGCAGGTTGGGGATGTGCCATGCTGGTCGCAGGATGCATGGGGGGGGTGTTTGAAGTCTCCTTCTTGGAGGAGAAGCCCATAAACGTGCTGTGCAGGACTGCCTCTACCAGAAGTGGCTGGTTGAGATAAAGGACGACAATTACACAGGTGTCCTCGCACTGATATCTTGAGTGCCGTGTTACTTTTGTGTGAGGTGCAGAGAATGTTGACTCGGGAAGGTGGTGAAAGGTGCAACGTAAGTGGACTGCGCTGCGACTGATGCATATGTCGATACTTGATGGTAGTGCTAGCTGACATGCCAGAAGTAAAAGTATATAAAAGTCCCTCACTCGCTTGGAACAGTATGTGCTAAAGGTATTGCAACAGGGACGACGATAGTGTTAGGATTTGGTTCAAGTAGTCTGTCAACCCTGGCAGGCAGTCTCTGAGTCTGCATTTCGCCTGATCATTTCGGCGCCGCACGGCCTTGAGCCACCAGGTGATGTCTGGCGAGAGGCCATCGAGTGTGGACGAGAAGCGCGCGATGTCACCAGCCCGGGTCCCACAAGCTCGGCAGTTCTTGGGCCAAGCAGTGCCAACCGCTTTCCAGGAAGCAGCGGCCTTTTCACACCCAGGGTTTGCGCGACGATTAGGGCTTAGGGTGGCAGACCCTAGCTTTCACGTAACGTGTCGGAGCGGAGAATCGAGACGGAGCATATGCGCAAACCGAAATGCTTAGGCGTCAAGTCGCAAGAGGAGGGCCGTGAAAGTTTGCGCATCACACAGAGCGAGCGTGAACTGTCAACGAAAAGCTGATCGTTGAGAGTGTTAGCATCAGCTGAGATTCCATTCTTTGGCCCAGGCTGCACCATCACAATGCTTCACGAAGGCTACCTGGGGGAAGAGGTGCGCTTCAGCTTCCTCGCAAACTGTATGTATAGTGTACATCCAATGCAGACTGCGTCATAGTTTCCGTTGTCCTGCTCTTCATCCATCGTCATGGCAGCGCCAGAGACTAACAGGCCCATCTTCGCAGCAACACGGAGTACGAAGTTCGCGTGAAGGAATTCTGCCGGAGCCCAAGCACATGAAATGGCGCCGATGGGCGGCGCAGATTGCCGGATCTTCACCGATGAGCCATCAAGGCCAAACCTACACGTCGATCTACGATCCGTGGGGAGGGTCGCGAGAGCGTTCGGCACCCAGAAGCTCCATCTACCGGCCCTACCGAGCATGCGAGACAGACTGTGATGCATGAACATTTGTCATACCATACAGATGCCGGGCTTCACAGCATGGGTCTGCTCCACTGAGACAGAAACAGCTCTTGCGTTTGCACTTTCAGGCCTTTGTTCGCTGCATTTCGAAAACATGCCTCGAGTTGGCATTTCAGCCCCTACACGCTGGATGCATAGACAGCCACTACTCTACGCTTCTGCCAAAGCCCTCTGAACTCTGAACCCCTCAAGCCTGTAGGGGCCTAAACGTTGGTCGCGCCCAGGTGCAGAGTACCTGGACAGTCCCATCCACTATCTGCCGGCCGATCAGCTGCCCAGGTCGGTGCAAAGCATCGTTCGGTCATGTTTCGGCATTGATGAACGAGGGGTTCAGTCTTGCGTTTTCTTTTTGCATATGCCGATGTTGTAGATAGTTAGGAAATGCTGCTGATACACCAGACACTCCTGCACTCCCCTCTCCACCATAGTTTCGCGATGTTTGGAGCACTGAAGGTAATACAGGATATCAGTATCAGATTCACAAGCCCTTAGCAGATCTTGTTGAAAGCAACACAAACCATTAGCATCATCGTCGTCGTCGTCGTCATCATCATCATCATCATCAACATCATCGCCATCATCATCATCGCCATCATCATCGTCATCATCATCATCATCATGAAAACTATCATCCTTGCCGGTCTCTTCTCCGTAACTGTTTATCATGACCATACTGCCTTGCTACAGTGGACCAGCTTAGTTCATGCCCTCAGGACACTGGCTCCTGTGCCAACATTGACACCCCTCAATTTCAAAGTGAATGAGACAGATCACCAGCTCGTGACCCAGTGTCCCGCGTGGAGTGGACAGTGATGGACAGTGCATGTTCTTGCGGATCGCATTTTGGCCGATGATCGGGAACGAGGTCCTTCAGACTCAGCTGGGAAGCGCAAATCTCCAACGACTGCCGGTTCCGGAACTGGACTGTGGAGGACGCCTGATGCAGCCAGCTAGCAGCTAGCATGACGGCCGTGAAGTAGATGAGAACCACAGTCCATTTCTCTTCCAGGTTGTTTGTTCGCGTTGTTTGCAGCCCTGTGCACAGATCCGGCTTGTCATCCACTGCATTGCCGGGGTCGGATACACGAATTGCACGGCGGCGCCTTGCTCAGAAAGACGCGGGGGTTTAAGTGAACTAGTAACTACCACGACTTAAACAGGTCTACTACTACTACTACTGCTACTACTACTACCACCACCACAACGACTACTTCTCCTGCTGCTGCTGCTGCCACTACTGCAACTGCTACTGCTACTGCGACGATGACTACTACTACTGCTACTACTACTACTACTACTACGACTACTACTACCTCTACTACCACTACTACTACTACTACTACTACTACTACTACTACTACTACTACTACTACTACTACTCCAACTACTACTACTACTACTACTACTACTACTACTACTACTACTACTACTTCTTCTCCTGCTACTATTGGTACTACTACTACTACTACTACTACTACTACTACTACTACTACTACTACTACGTACTACTACTACTACTACTACTACTACTACTACTACTACTACTGCTACTGCTACTGCTACGGCTACTGCTACTCCTACTCCTATTACTACTACTACATCTACTACATCTACTACTACTACTACTACTACTACTACTACTACTACTACTACCCTACTACTACTACTACTACTAGACTACTACTACTACTACTACTACTACCAGTACTACTACTACTACTAGTACTAGTACTACTACTACTACTACTACTACTACTACTACTATTACTACTACTACTACTACTACTACTACTACTAATTACTACTACTACTACTACTACTACTACTACTACTACTACTACTACTACTACCCTACTACTACTACTACTACTACTACTACTACTACTACTACTACTACTACTACTTCTGGTACTAGTACTAGTACTACTACTACTACTACTACTACTACTACTACTACTACTACTACTACTACTACTACTACTACTACTACTACTATACTACTACTACTACTACTACTACTGCTACTACTACTACTACTGCTGCTGCTGCTGCTGCTGCTGCTGCTGCTGCTGCTGCTGCTGCTACTGCTACTGTTACTTCTGCTACCGGTAATGGTACGATTCTCTCCAATACAGAGCCTAAAACTCATGCACATGCTGAAACTCGTGCTGATGCTGATAGAAGTACCTGAATACTGCTAGTGGTCCTGGTCATGATAATCATAGCAAGACTCATGATAATGGTACGGTTGATGGACAAAATCCTGTATGACCCTAAGGACTCTAAGCTATGGGAACTATGGTATATTTCCTATAATGGGTAATGCAGGATTTTGTCCATCAGCAGTAGTGAGCACTCCTAGAGTCCTAGAGAGGAGCTCTTGGAGGAGTGACCGTGCGATCAGGTGGGTGGTTGTCAAAATTATGGTCCCTTTTTGGGTCCCTATTAAATATATGTTAAAATACGGCACCTACTATTTAGGGTACGCCAGAAAGGGACCTGAATTTTGACAACTACCCAGGTGGAGGACCAGCCCTGGGAGATTCCGGGCACCTGTGTGATCGAGGCCCGACTTCAGCAAAGGGAACTCCAGAAAGTTGGAATATGGTTTCAGGGTAGGATACCTTATAATTTACCATAAAGGGTTTAGGATAATCATATTCCAACTTTCTGGCTTCTACTGTAGGGGTTTCGGGTGGAGGGTTCAGGGTTTGGTAGGGGTTTGGGGTCTAGGGTCTAGGGTTTGTTGGGAATGAACTTTGTTTACGCCGAGGCGAAGTATGTTTGAAGCTTGCTTCTTGGACGTAGCTGCAAAGTATGTTGAGAATAGTTTGGTACATGTACACGGTTAGGGGTTAGAGGTTTGGGGCTTAGGGTGCCCTCATGACTCCGACGGAGATGCCAGGGGCAAGGGGTCCTCATGAGGTTTCTGGTCCTTGCCCTGGCAGTCGTAGGCTGCTGGGGTCCAAGGCTTTAGGCTCAAGGTCATTTGGGTGCTTGTCAAAAGTAGGGTCCCGTTTTGGGTACCTTAAATATCAGGTGCCGTATGATAATAAGGACCCCGCAATTTTGACAACCACCCATTTGGACCTTTCTCAGACACGGCGTTGTCACTTATGCTGCATGGCCGTAAACTTCAATTGGGAACTCATAGTTCTTGAGGAGCACCGTCGTCAACATAATCCGCATAGCTATTCACTCACCAAGGACTGCTAAGGCAGAAGGTTCAACATCGCCAGATACTCAAACTCGCCCAACGCAACAGAGCTGGCTGCCTGTATTGACCCGAGCCTGAGTCTCCCGAGCTTTCTTGCACTCCCAATTTCTTGTGTGGTGCTGGGCAGGACAGATCGGTTACCAGCTGCAAGGCTGGGTGTTGAGAAGTCCTACGATTGCTATGGTCAGTATCGTGCCTGCTATCATGAGTGCTATCGTCAAAATCAGCGTTACTATCGTGGTTGCGAGTACTGTCATTACTCTTACCTGCTTTGTCTGAATACTACTTCTCAGATCTCCAAGGATGTCAATGCTTTCAGAGGCTCGGAGGCGGACCAGGATGTGTCAGGTTTCGTGCCGGCTGCTCCTCTGTAGGGCCAGGATCCGAGCCCAGCCCCGTTGTGCCACACTGGACCTGGGGCTTCAGGTGCATGATGTGAAGAGCTACAGCTTCTACGAGGTCAAGATGCGGGAACGCTGTGCGCGACCTACGGATAGACTTCCCGCAGCCGCGCAACAAATCCCAAAAGCCTGAGCCCTCAGGCAGCGATGCGACGGCAGAAAGTGCGGATGCCACGCTGATAGCCCTCTTCCCAGCTTTGCCTTGAGGATGTGGGTGGAGGATTTGGATCCTCTCGCCTGGTAAATCAAGGATGTTGATGCAGGTCTTTCGGTAATGGGCTTCAGGGGTGCGCGGCAATAGACATGTGCCAAGACAAGAGAGCGCTTGTGAATGTCGGGGAACGAGGCGGAAGTGTGGCCCTTCTTGTCAGATGCGCCGGACAACATGCCAAGCTGGCCTTTGGTTGGGAGATGGGGACGCCGGGGACGCCTTCCGCCTTTATCACCGCACAGCCCAAGCTTTGAGAGATTTGGGTGTCGTTGACCCCTGCGCTAGCCCGATTCTGCTTCGGCTGTCGTGCCAGGACGGTCACTTCTCCCGAGCCCTTCACGCTGAATGTGAAGTGGGACCCTGGAGATCCCCAGGAATGTGTCTCGCCGAGCATTGAGTGCTGCCAACTTCGTGACTTTGTCGTGGATCTCTTCAACAGATCTTTCCGGTATAGTAGTTGTATGTGTATATGTACATACACAGTCGTCATCTGCGTATATACACATATACGTATGCCGACGTATGCACAAGCACGCGTTTGAAATGTGCAGGCACACACTCTCTTGCTCTCTCTGAGACTCTCCGTCTCTACAGGTTCGTTTTCAAGGGCCGAACTGAAGATCAGAGAGTCCTGGATGGCTTGTATCGTGGCAGCTCCACTAGCAGCCCTGATAGTAGCTCTTGTAATCCCCGTTATAGTTGCCGAATTTCGGTATTTGCCCCCCCTTTCCGCCGTGAGCTGCCCAAGGTGTCTTCTCGCACTGGGACGTTCAGGTTCAGGCCTCCAAGCTGTGCGCAAGATGCGTGGTTGTCAAAATCAGGGTCCCTCTTTGGGTCCCTGTTGTGCTATGGCACCTATTATTTAGAGTGCCCAAAAAGGGACCTTAACATTTTGACAACTACCCAGATGTACGTCCGCTTCGTTCCGTCTTGGTCAGCAGCATCTGCATCCTCCTCCGTCTTCTTTTTTCTGATAACCGTTGCCATCGCTACAGCCCTGTTCATCGTTACTTGGAGCGTCATCGTCGTCATGTTCCTGCCTTCCTTCCTTGATTCATTGGTTCATTCCTCGTTCGTTGGTTCATGCATCATTCCTGCATTCACCATCGTCTTCTCCTCCTCCTCCTGCACCAGAGCTTTCCTTTATGTCTTATCCTCTTCCTCCGCATGGTCATCCTCGTCCCCAGATTCGTCCGCGTCGTCCTTCTCTTCCCCCATCAACATCCGTGTCGTCAGTGTCAACGCCATTATCCTTATCATGATCAACCTCGCCATCACCATCGTCATCATGCATCATCGTCATCATCAACATCTTCATTCTTCATTTCTAACAGAGATCCCTTGCCACAAGCTCGGTCCAAACTCAACAAACCGTCGTCGTCCTTAGCCTCATCTATCGGAATTTCATGTTTTCCACTGCACCTAGTAAAGCTACCTGACGCTGTTTCAGGGCCGGCGCGTGGGTGACCTGGACGACACCTTTTCCAGGGAGTCCGTCACAGATAAATGGCCTGCTGCCCAGACAGGTTAGGCGGTTAGGGCGGCAGACTGCGCAAGATCGAAGCGTGGCCATGTCGGCAAGGTATGGTATGATCTGGGACCTGGAGGGAAATGCTTCGTTTCTCAACTGGAGTGCGCCAGGGCTCGCCGTCTCTTTGCTGCTCTCCATCGTGCTGCGTAGCTTTCGGTGATCGTCGGCTCAAGGTACGACCATCGACTCCTGCCGTTTGGTCGGCCAGCGGGATGTTGCAGAATGCAACATCACGGGGCTCGTCGGACACCGAGACTCATACAACCTTGCCGCATTAAGTAGCACTGATCGCATGCAGGGGGACTGTACCCCCAGTTGTGCGATCACTGAGATCAGCAACGCCTTGTACGATGTGCGGATTGCAGAGCGATGTGTAGATGAACGTGCTGACAGTCCGTGGCTCGTCGTTGCCTCAGAGTGTTGTAAGTAAAGGCCTTGGCCGGGCCTTGCATGAAGACGGGCGGCGAACGTCCAGAACCCCGAGTCCCCGCATTCTTCGTGTCTGAGCTGTGACGAAATCTTGCCGTAGAGTGGCCCTGCATTCCAGGATTGAGGGGAGACCAAAAACAAACGGAAAAGAGCCCTGGGTCACCGCTGGTACACCATACTGGTACCACCTGGGCAGCAGGTGGAGCGGCTGCAGGCCACGATTCCAGCTTGGGCCTTGATGCCATTGGGGCCCAACGCCGGGGACCTGGACCACGCGACGTGCGGCTTGCATTTTTCTTGGGTGAGCTGGCGGTGGAGTAGATGTCCATGTTGAATAAACCAGTGAAGCAGTGAAGCAGGGCAGGCATGAGGCGAGAAGCTTCTTTCTTGCTTCGGCTTGGGGTCTCTGAAATCGCGAGGTCAGCAACGTCACCACCACTACCATGGACCTGGAGTGGGTTCCGGCCTCTGTGGTGTCGGGCCAAAGCCTCCTGGGCGGTGTGAGGGACTCTGAAACTGTAGACCCTAACGTTGGAATCTGATCGAGAAACCTTCGGCCTTTATTAGGGTTCCTTATATGAATTCTAGAGTCTTGGTGTTATAGGCCCAGGGTTTCTTAATCAGGTTCCTACATGAGACCCTAAACGAGCTTAGAACAACCGGCCCGTGCTGAGGCTGCGAGTGAGCCGCGCGACTGCCTCTTCAGCTCCTGGAAGGTCGAGGCCATGGCGGCGGAGGGAGGGTTCCTCGGGTTGATGATATAAATCCTGCATTACGCGTACCTTAAGGATCCTAAACTATGGGAGCTATGGTATATTCCTTATTGTTGGTAATGCAGGATGTATATCATCAACCGTAGGTCTTGAAGGTCCGGGGTTGGACGCTGGAACGCAGGCAGTTTAGGAATTCGGAGTTTGTCAGAAGGCTATAGAGGTGTTGCGCTCCATTGATGTCAAGCTGAGATTTTAACCCCGCGTGCCAAGCTCCAAGCGACAGCTGGTGAGATGATAGCTCTCTCTCTCTCTCTCTCTCTCTCTCTCTCTCTCTCTCTCTCTCTCTCTCTCTCTCTCTCTCCCTCCCTCTCTCTCTCTCTATATATTTTATCTATCTATATATATATGATATATGATATATGATATATGATATATATATATATATATATATATATATATCATCTATCTATCTATCTATCTATCTATATATATAATACATACATATATATATATATATATATATATATACATATATATATATATATATATATATACGATATATATATATACATATATCTATATATATATATATATATACGTGATGATGATGATGATGAAAGGCGGTGTTAAGGCCTGATGGACTCTGGCCTTCAGACAGGTGAAGCCCACGGCCATTACCGACGACGACTGGATACCGGTGCCAGAGTGCTCCCTGCCTGATCGCGATGCCACCTCTTGCCAGATTGTGGCTTGGAAGCTCTGGGCCTGCCTTTTCTTACCTTGGGTTAGTTGGGAATGGAGGAATGGGGTAAAATTATAACTACTATTACTACCATTCTTGCATTCCCTACTAACCAAATGTATGTTTTGCTTTGTCGAGACTCGGCTAAACGCGACTATGACTTGTCGCTTAGGTGGGCCTGCAAAGCTACACCAGCTATGATATCCGGATCCAAGAGACCTGCATCCATGACACCAGCAACAGTGCGAGAGCTGAGAGTTTCTGCCGATGCACAAGTCCAAGACGAGCCTTGCATGTGTGGGGGATCGGGGACCATGAGTCCACTGCTGCAAGGTCCTTACTTGCTGGAGGAGAACTCGTTCACGACCCTGGCAGACTCCTGAGAAGCACAGTTCCCGCGATTCGAACTTGGAGCTGCAGGGGAAGCCGCGCAATGCTGAGGTGGGGAGCGTGGTCTACGTCGGGACGAACCCCAACACCAACTCCAAGGCGATCTTCTTCGGCTCGCGAGGTCTGAATGCGCGGAGCTTATTGTGAAGACTTGGTAGCGGGGGTTCGGGGTTCGTCGGAGGTTTTCAAGGCCGGTGTGCGATTTTGGAGTTGTCGGCTTCGAGGGCTTCGAGGGCCTCGTGCTACTTTTTAAATGGCAACGGAAGCAAGGGTTCAGGGTTTTGGGAACCGCATACCATAGAAGGCACTTCAAGTTTGGAGTTAAGTTCCTGCTTCTGGAGTCTGGTTCTCTGCAAGTTTCAGGCCTGTGCCTATCACACCAAGTGCTGTGCCGACGAGTTCTCGCTCTGCTACAGCAGCCAAGAGGCGCAGAGTTTCCGACCCCGCTTGTCTGGGATGTTTGATGTTTTCCAGAAGTATCCCAATCAAATCTATGATGCCAATTTTCACCTCCATCCGTTCGATTCACGCCGCTTTTCGCGATGCATGGCCAGGCTGGAGACTATCGGAGAACATAGTAATAGAGGCTCAAAGCCTATTTGCCCCTCACCGCCGTCAGTGCAGGTGGATGTTATCCGGACCGACTTGCCAGATGCTGGCTGGGGGCAGGCAGTCCGGCTAAAGCCGAAAGCTCGCGGAAGACGCTGGGGGTTTTCGGAGCAAGAACGTTCATGCATTCAGCTGCTCACTGTACCGGCCAGGACCTGTACCTTTCTTGCGTCGCGGATACTGCAGCCGCCTCAGAACGTAGTACTTTCGCGACTTAAGTTCCGGTGGCGACACTTGGACGCTTTGTGAGGTGGCCCAGGACGACATGAAGCGCATCGTGGCGCGCCCGCCGGCAAAGCCCAGCCCTCAAACCGCAGACCCGAACAAACTTGGGGTGCATTGCCGTGCAGCCAGAGGAAGATGACCTCGACGATGGTGGCAATGTTTATTAGCATTCCCTATCGTCCCTATCTAAACATAATGAAAAGTTCCCCTTGAGCCCTCTATAGCGAATTCATGTTTCCCCCTTCAGTGCTGCTGGCTGTCCGAGGCTCGAAGCCGTTGATCGCACTGCGAACGTGGACATGCCTCGCTTGGCTTCAAGGGAATAGTACCAGTAGTAGTAACAATTATGCCAGCAGCAACAAATTGTCAGAACAGCCTGTAAAAGTGCGGACATATCATGGCATCGTACAATGCAGCGAAACAAATCATGAACTGTGCTCTATACCACACCGTTGTTCTTCCTTGTGCTGAGCCCGTCTCCAGTCTTCTCACGTGTCTATGTCCCATGCCCTCGGCCCAGGACAGAAACGGAAAACACACTTGAACCCACTTCATCGGAATCGTAGGACCCGGGCTCACGCCCTCTAGACATGATCGATGAAAGCCGTAGTTCTTGCTAGTTGCTCAAACTCTGGTTTTCCACACTGCCCCTAAAGCAGCCATTATGGTAATAACTCCTTTCCCTGATGGTATGTACCTGCAGAGTATCCCAGGCCCATTCGTGGTGTTTTTGTATCCCTTATAGCTGCAGTTGAAAGTTGTGATATAGTAGCCACCATAGTAGCGAGCGCTTCTGGCAACCTTGTCTGCACCTCTCTTATCCCTAAAGCCCACACCCTCCAGTCCATCGACCTGGTTTGGCTCCCCTACGGCTCCGGCGGGCCTGGGGCCCGGCTTGCCGGAGGATTCGATGACAGTTTCAGGAAACAAAGGGCCCTCATGAGCATCATCCACAGCATCATCATCCTCATCTAACAAATATGTATCTAGGTATACATTCACACGCACACATATTGCATCTAAATATACTTGTATACTGACAAAAGTTTTCAAAAGAGAGCAGTGTTGCTACTGATTCCGAGTCGTTGGACGTCTTCAAATTCAGGCTGCCGGCCTTGTTTTTCCTCTGAGGTACATGAGTGATTGCTACTGCTCCGAGTGGAACATCTTCGTTCGGCGACAAGGCGGCCGAATCTGCGAAAATCCTCCCCATGGGCCCGATGAGATCACTGCTTTGGCAGGTACTACGGAGTGGTTGCTCTCTCCAGACTGTGGGCCTGACACTTTCAACTACGCGCGAAGAGTTGGTACTGTATCGGCTCTATTCAAGTTGAAGTTCTGTAGCCATGATGTGCTATCCTATACTTTATACTCTATACTCTATACTCTATAACCTGTACATAGAGTACTCTATGCTCTGTGCTCTATGACCCTTACCCTATACTCTATGCCCTATGCTCTATACTCTTTACCCTACTCCATCCTTCATATACTCTAGACTCTATACTCTACTATACTTCACTATTCTATTCTCTATACTATATTAATTATACTCTGTTACACTTCATGCCAGGCAGGAATATGCCTTTTTCCCAGAGCAGCTGCACAGTGCAGAATCTGGAAGACAACTGGCTCGCTCCAGCAAGGACCTTGGCATCCTGCTGATGGGCTTCGGAGTTCGAAGTTTAGGGTTTAGGGTTCAGGGTTTAGGGGTTTAGGGTTCAGGGTTTAGGGGTTTGGGGGTTTGGGGTATAGGTTTAGGGGTTTAGGGTTTAGGGTTTAGGGTCTAGGTTGAGATTCAGCGGTTTCGATGCGCTTCGAGCTGTGCAGCCTCTTCGTGCATGGTCAGCACTGGCGATTCCTGCATGGCCTCCCCGTGGCTAAGAACACTGTCTACGAGATTCGCGTGCGGCAGACTTGCAGCCGGGACCTCGTCACCGCATTCTCCGGACTCTTCTCGAGATATGGTTTACCAAAAATTGGGGTACTTGATTCTATTGCGTAGGGGTTCCATAAAAAATTAGGCTCCCCTATTGTCTGAAACTCCCATCTAGCTAGGAGTTTTCCAGTTCACTTCAGCGACTGGTTGTCTTCGCGCAGGTTGAAAGCCCCAGGCATAGATCTCTGTTTCTCTGTCGTATCGCAGGCGTGGTTACTTGTCACAGAGGAGTCTTGAACATACCGTTGTGCACTGCCAGAACTGCGGGATGCTCAAGCCGAGACCCGGGGACATGCGGTTCATGTTCATAGTTCAGACGTAGTTCAAACTTCAGGGAAACCCACACAAATCACGCCGAAGGCTTCGATCGCCTCAGCAGCCCGTACAAAGAGATCCAGGCGGATTTCGATTAGTCTTAAGAATCCACTACTGGGTGCCCAAGAACATTCAAGCATCACAGCATCGAAGATTGCCTTCAGCCATCCTCTGCACCACGGTTTGGAGTGGAGTTTAGCGTTTAGGTTTTGATGTTTTGGTCTATGAAGATGCTGAGGAGTTGCGAGACGTCGGAAATGATGCTATGAGCCTCTAGAAATATGAGCTTGGGTCAGGGATAATCCACGCCGTGGGAGGTATAGCAAACAGATAGCAATCTTGACATGTGAGTCTGTAGCATTGGCAAGACGCCGCTAGCATGGACCCGTGGAATATGTGGACTCTCTGTTCCGAGTCTATGTGTTCCTATTCAGTGGCTCACTGCGCAGGTCCCCACATTGCCTGGCTGTACCTTCTCCCAGCACAGCGGCCGAGACGACTATTTCGTTTGCGCGGACCGCCGGGGAGACAGGTGTACTCAGGGCTGCCACTACGAAGCAGCGCGGAGTGGTGCTTCGGTTTTGGCAAGTTTTCTCGTTTCAGGGCCGTAATTTCGGAATCGAAAGCATCCGTAGCGGACATGGTTGCTTCATTGCCTCGCTGGTAACTGGTTTTGGAGTGTTGGTTGTGAGCGACGTGGGTGGGCCCGTCTTTAGACGGGAGGATCCAACATTGGTCTGGAGTAAGATCGGGAAGAAAAGGCATAAGTTCTACTGAAAGGCATCTACCCACGAAAGACATACACTGGTGCACGAATTTTAGCTGGGCTGTCGCACACTCCCATTGTATATGGCCAAGCAGAGCATCATGTCCCAACATGTCCGGATGTTTCGACGCGGATCGCCTTAAACTAGGTTGAAGGTACTGCCAAAGGGTAGTCGCGCGAGTTAGCTTAGGCACTCACTTGCGTCTTCAGCGAACGGCTCAGAAGTAGATGTTTCAAGCCCCAGCCAGTCGCAGGACGGTTTCTTCAGCTTCATCTTTGATGGCGGTCGTTTCGATGGCGATGGAACAGGATGTTGGCGACGTCGGATCCCTGGCTGCTGGTTCAGATCAGTGCTGCAGGAAGAACGTGGTCTCGCCTGAGGAATGCGCAATGAAGTACTCGTACATTCCAGTTTCTCCTTGTAGATGTCTACTCGGGCACAGGTGGAGGACGAGCCAGATGTGCCAAAAACTTTCCGTATATGTCCGGCGCCAAGCATTCCAGTACTTCCTGCTGCCCTCCTGGGTCTGTTTCGCTGTCTTGTGTGACTATCTTCTCTCCTTGCATTGGTCCGTGTTTGCCGCAGAGCTCTGGAGAGCGGGTCAACGGAATGCGTGCTTGTGCACTGCCCCGGGACAGTCTCATGAACACATGCCCTACTCTACACCCTAAGCCCCGCTTCTGCAGCGAGTTTGCGGTACAAAGGTGCGCCAGTCCGGACAGCTGTGCCAAGGCCGAGATTGCGCTTAGCAGGTGTTGTAGAAAAACGGGGATCATAGACCCTGAGACCCATCAGCCCACACACCCCCGTGACCCTAAACCCTAAACCCTAAATCCTAAAATCCTCAACCCTAGACCCACACCCCTGTTCTTAGGGAGCATCTGAGCGGACCCTGCGAGGTCGATAGTCTTCAGTCCGGCGGCGTCCGAGCGGACCTCTGGGAGGGAGGGTTGATGTGGGTGGTTGTCAAAATTCGGGTCCCTTTTTGGGTTCTTATTATAATACGGCACCTAGTATTTAGGGTACCCAAAAAGGGACCATAATTTTGACAACTACTCGTGTGTGTTTAGGGATGGGGAGTCTTCGTATAAGAAATCTCCCAAAGCCTTTAGAGCCAGCGGCGCAGATATTCGGCATGGAAGCTGGGCCCACCGGTTTTGTTTCCTCGTGCCAAAATCCCCGCGAAACCGCTCTCCAACCCCACTATGTCGGACCAGGACCACTGCTGCATGACGGAACCTTGCGGCTCGCGGAATGGCGGCGACCGGGTGTGCCTGGTGCGTCCACTGCCACCGGTCGGGGACTCCGCAAAGTCTCAGACAAGACAAACCCTGGTCTTCTACGAGAGCCGCCTTTGTCCGAGGCCGACATCGTCGTGACCTCCCCATCGCCGTACTCGCTGATGGTAGACTGGCAGGCCGCCGTGGGACTTGTGCCTTACAGTGTCCAGTGTACTCACAGCTTACTTCAGACCTCTGCAGCTCCCAAGCGACAAGCCTCTCAGGAACAAGACTTCGCGGTCCGCCTCCCGGTGTTTTGTGTCATTAGATGAAAGCTGGCCGCGGTAAGCAGCAGTAGGGTATGACGGAGTGCAGACTTTCAGTGAAGCAGCGAACATGGTAGCAGGAATCCGCGTCGTCGTCAGGCAAGAAACAGTTCTACATACGTATCCTTCTACTGGTCGTAGTCGTGCCAACATTCGTTCTTGATCAGGGTCAGAAGAGAAGCGGTGGTAGCTGCGAAACGTCGCGGTAGTCGTCACGTGACGAGTAGCAGTTTTTCGCCTCGGTGGTGCTGCTAGTAGCAGTAGTAGGTTGAAGTCAAGCATGACGGGACCGGCAGTTGCGTCCCAACCTACAGCGCCAATGGGCATGGCGAAGGCACAGTGACAGAAGAATGAACGGACAGGTGTATGCACAGAAGGATAGCCGAAAGAGCAGATGTTGGATCGGACGCTGGAGTGAATCAACGAAGTCAGATTCTCACAGCGATGGCGCACTCAGGACACGACCTACTATCCTTGCAGCTTCCGCCGCTGGCAAGTCGACCTCAGCCAGTACTTCTTCGAACATTGGCCTCGCACTCAAGAAAGTCCAGCGGAATGACGAGGAGAGGATTGAACTCGTTCGTGGGGTTGGGATGATCGTGACAGTGGTGCAGTGGTGCCTGACGCAGCTATTGCTCTATAATGTTTCTGTTCATCCCAGAGTGAGCACTGAGCTCGTCAGCGCAGCTTCGGTGGTCTAAGGAGCTCGGAATGGACTGCTGCGCCAGAGTGTTACATCGAGGACTTGCAGCTTCGTCTCGCGTCTGATGCTTTATTCGGAAGACTGTGGTCACAGACCAGGATCGACTGTTAGTTCAGGGGCACTCAGCCCGCACCAGGTGGAACAGCCTTGCTGTAGAGGCGTTCTTAGCGGCTTTTCCATTCCGGATCATGCCGGATGGTATTGGTGAGCAGGGTAAAATCTAGAGAATCGAAGCATGATGGCGGCAGTATTTCGCGCAGGAGCGAAGAACGTCCCACTGCACCATCACAGGCCCCCCGCTGTCATGTGCACGATCCATGTCGGTGCAAGCCCGCTGCAGTTGCTGGAATCGCTGCGCGATCTTCCTGGTAATTAGAACTATCGGTCTACTGCTTCCTGCAATTCATCTGCACGTTGAACGTCTTTCCGAAGTTGTGAGGCTTGGAAAGCAACGCTCTGTACTATGTGCGTGTCAGAGAGGTCTGCCAGGCTGGCCACAGAATGCAACATGGCATGCGGCACTAAATTGTTCTATGCCACGATAGCCGTGCGGCTACGTCATAGCCCACATACGCAAGTACCATAAAGATATGGTCCCTTTTTGGGTCCCTAATATAGTATATAAGGCACCTAATATTTAGGGTGCCCAAAAAGGGACCCCAATTTTCACAACTACCCATATGATGTCAGCATCTTGAGCTCGGTGGCTCGGGGCAGTTTAGGCCCATGGCAAGACCTGTCGTGCTTTGCTTACCTTTGGCTAGTAGGGAATGGAAGAATGGTAGTAATAGTAGTTATGGGTTTAGGGTTTAGGGAAGAATGGTAGTAATAGTAGTTATAATTGTACCCCATTCCTCCATTCCCTACTAACCCAAGGGAAGTTTGTTGGCCGCCGGCGCAGGATGACGCGCTCAACGGAGACTACCTGCAGCACCCTGGGCTGGTGCAGGCACTCCCCGAAAATCTGACCTGAAAGGGGGGAGCCCTAGGACTCTTTTTTCCAGGATCTTTAGGAGACCTCAGCCTTGCCATAAGCCTCGTACATATAAGTTTTCAATGGTTCAAGTTCTCAAGAGCTCGGTAGATCTGGGTGGAAAGGGGATGTAGAATCGCAATCCTGGAGCTAATGATGTGCCACATGTGTCAAATCTGCAAGCTTCGACCTTTACACGTGAAAGCCTGACTGAGAGCGCCTCCACTGCAGGTGAATCCCCTGCCGGCTGGTGCAGCGTGCCCCTCAAAACTTTCAGTGTCGTAGCTGGCACGACGTCGAAGGTCTGCGGAGTTCATCTCGCTGTTTGGCACAAAGAGCCCACGGGCAACAGAAGGAGACCCAACCAGTCGTCGCAACAGTGGTAGCAATGACAAGACCAGTAGTCATGAAAGTGGGACTTAGACCAACAATGGCACTCAGAGTACTAGCAACGTGCGTAGCAGTTGGAGTAATGCTGATCCCAAGCAGAAAAAGGCGTATGCACTATAGAAGCTTAGTGTAATGGTAAAGAAGACGAGTAGCAGAATGAATCAACAATACTGATCGGAACCGCAGTAGAGTTGTCAGTAATCAATATTGACAGTGAGGAGGGGGGGCGAAACTTGTGCAAAATTTGTGATACTGGCCCCGTCTATGCAGACTAGCACGCAGTATGCAGCAGATGGAACTTATGACAACAAATTCAAAGCAACAGTCGCTGACTCCTTGACTGCTGTATGCGCCAGTTGAAACAAACAGCAAGAAGTAGAACTAGGCAAATATAGGGGCTTCAATAACTACCTGTACTATTTGGGGGGTTCCTTATTATAATTATAGTATAATGGGCCCCAAAACCCTATTCTAAGCCTTAGGGCCCCTATATTTACTACCATTATTACTAGTAGTACTAGTATTACTATTAACATTATTGCTACTATTATTACCATCATGACTAGTATCGTCAGGTGACCGATGTCATCGAGGCTCATCGGGACATCTACTGGATCAATGCTCGCGCCTGATTGCGGGGGGAAAAGTGCTCTCAGCCTTGTGGTACGCCCTAAACCCATCTAAACCCTAAGACCCCGAACCACACCCCAAAGGCCCCAAACCCAACAGCAAACGCCGAACGCCCCAAAACCCCACGGCCCCAATTCGACCGAGATCCCCCCGGGCCCTCTCGCTCCGCGAAGTGAGGTGACCTGGACCCCCGGACTTCCGAACGACTGCGTCTTCGTTGCCTGGCAGATCGAAGCGGTGGCGGGTGCAGCTCCCGGCAGGGCTGAGGGCTGAGGATTTCGGCTTTAGGATTTCGAACTCACGGGTTTTAGTCCAGGGGGGGGCTTGCATCGCCAGGAAGGCCTCGGTGACTCAGGACCCAGGTGCAGCCCACTATTTCATGTTTCGGAGCTCAAGTGGTGCCAGTATCTCTGGTACAGCCATAAGGAGACCTCAAACAGACACGCATCTTCTTGGTATGCACTTACGCTTAATCAGAACTCTACCGCTCGTAACTTACCCACCCTTGAGCTCGTCAATCTCTTGGAAAGCTGCTGCTGATTGCGTGTAGGCACAGACCAAGTCAGTTTCGACGCCCACGGCACAGGTGGTGAGACCCGCACTTTCACCACCGTGGGACAGCCGCGCCTACCGGCCTACCTCAACATGTGCCAGCCTTGGAATTGAAAGAGTCGTCCTCCGGTACCGTACCACAAATCTTTACTGTTTATTCTACCCAGTTATCGTCATGCCGTACCGGGCTAGAGACTTCGTCTTGCAATAAGTTTTGTTGTGTGTGCCGAGAGTACACTTCGCTGCATCGCACTGTGCGACCCATCCGTGCCTTCACCACTCTCTCCTTTTGCATCGGCTAAGCCACGCTGCCTACCGTACTCAGCCAACCTGAAGTAGATAAACCGGGAGCCCTAAACCCTAAACCCTAAACCCTAACCTCTACTTTTGCGAGCTTTGCTTAGGACGGGGCTGACAGACGGCACAGTGTTCCAGGCTGGGCATGCTCGGGATTTTCAGGTTGGGGCGTCAGGATGTCGGAAAGGAGTCATTATGAAGAGGATGACAACAACAAGAAACAGAGCAACAATAAAGCACAGGCAATAACAATATTAATACAGTAGTAATAGCAAAAGTAGTAACAATAGTAATAGTAGCACATACAACTGTAATGATAACAATAATGCAATAATCGTAAGATATTTAGTAGTCGTAGTAGTAGTAGTAGTAGTAGTAGTAGTAGTCGTCGTCGTCGTAGTCGTAGTCGTAGTCGTCGTCGTCGTAGTAGTAGTAGTAGTAGTAGTAGTAGTAGTAGTAGTAGTAGTAGTAATAGAAATAGTGGTAGTAATCGTAGTAATGGTAATACGACTAATAGGGGTCTGGGATCAAAGGAAGAGCGCCGGCTCTCAACTCGAGTTCTAAATGTGGCTTGAAGCGGCGGAACTCTTGCCTCTGTGAAGTGGGCACGTCAAGATATGCAGATGACACAGAACCGATCTGGTGGTTTCGTTTCATGGAGACTAACCCTAAACCCTAAGCCCATGCTCGCCAGATCTTCGTAACGGAAGTGCCCGGCTCCAAGATGTCGGGGAGGTTTCGGGGATTGAGTTTTGAAGCTTCGAGTTTGGGAAGGCTCATGGCCCGGGATGCAGCAGGCTTAGGGCTCAGGGTCGGGGGCCGTCGTTGGGCTTGTTAGGCTTCCTTGGAGAGCTCAGGAGTTCCAGGAGGCATGGGATGTTGAGTTGGAGGGAGGCCTGGGAGTGCAGGTGTGGCTGAAAAAGGGCCACCCAGTAAAGAGCAAGCCTCAGGAAGTACTCCGCAAACCCTGGCTTATCGGTTAAAAGCGGTGCTTGGAGTGCTGCTGCTCCGCTGCCCAAGGTGTGAGAATCCCCTGGCCAACAGCGCAGAAGCAGCCCAAGTTCGAACGGGACTGGGGTCTTGTTGCAGGTGCATTTTGGATTCGGGTTCAGGGTCTAATCGAGTCTACGAGGCTTTCCGGCGCTGGCCAAGACGATTTGCAAGGGATCTCAGCATTTACCTTCATGTTTCAGTAACGGCGGAGGTTCAAGGCTGCATGAAACAGTCAGCGAAGACTTCGCCGCGTGGAGGGGCGCAGGCTTCTTGGTGTCCGACTCGTCCTACCAGTGGGAGATTGAAACACACGCCACGCCCAAAAGCCTGGACCCGAAATCGCCCCTAAATCCTTCAAGGCCCGTGCCTCTGAACCCTGAAACTCCCTAAACCCTAAACTCCTAAACCCTAAACCCTAAGCAAAACAAGGAAGCTTCAAGCCCCGAGCCCAAGCCCAGAGTAGCTTTCTATCCCAGGCCGTGGAAGCCCTTGTGTCCTCCCGGCCGAACCCAGCACAGGACAGCAGAACCGCGGGGCTTCGAGCCTTTCTTTGGTTTAGGGACTCTTCCAGTGTTGGGAGGCTACGGTTGAGGGTTGTGGGGCGCTCCTGCTTTTGAGGGCGTGCGGCATGAAGGTTCGCAGTTTTGGAGCCACTTGCCTGGGAGTTTCACCGCTTTGTACCTGACAAGGACCCGCAGCAGCCCACAGTCACAGCAGCCAGAGCCCCAAGAAGGGCGTGAAGTTGCTGAGCCTCTCCTTGCCGCCGGGGCTCTTCCTCTGCTTGCAGTTCGTTGTGACGTGCAAGCATCAGTCGGCCAAGACGATACAAAAAGCGGATCCTTGTGCTGCCAACCTTTCACCCGCCTAGGCGGGATCCTACTGGCTCAATGTGGAGTGGTCTGCTGGTCAGTGGTCGCCTCAACCCTGCGTGTAGGTAGGGTACCCCTTTATGCAGCTGAGAGCGTGAGAAGATGACAGTCGAAGCATTGACATGATGGCTCATCTTGCTCTCGAGTGCTTCGTGCTTAGCCCCTTCTTAGCCCCAACTTGCAACGCTGTGAGGCCGGGAACTTGCACCTTCCTCTCCTGGGAGGTGACCGTTCGGAAGACAGGCAGGGGGTCGAAGATCTGGGTTTGAGATGTGGATCTGCTTGTGGGAGAATGATAAGATACTGTACTAAGTGTAATATAGGTTATCAGAGACATCGAACTTGGCTGACCTTCGCATGCCGCAGGCACTGAGCAGTTCGACCACGTGGCCGTCTGCAGTGAGCCTCCGACTTGGCATCTCCGTGTTCGACTTCGAGGGGATTGGGATAATCATGCCACCAGTACCAGCCGCTTACTAGCCATGTTGGAAGCAGTCATGACAATGACGCTCGGATGGAGCGCTCACCAAGGACTGCTGAAAGCACCACCAGCTGCAACATCACAGAGAGCTACTCCTGTTTCCAAGACCGGAAGTACAGTGGATTCTACGATGCCGACCTGACATGTCCCGTTTGGTTCCGGGCCGCTGGACCATTAGTTCAGCTCGTCAGCAGATCACTCGTAGCAGCTGTTCAAGGGAGGAGAGCCACGGCATTTCGGGCATACCGCCAGCCAAGGCAAACCAGGCAAATAAGTGGTGGTGCTGTTCCCTGAAGCCTACGCCTTAACCCCGAGATCCCAACAAAACTACCAAAGAGCATACTGTGTCGCCGAAGAGTTGGTTCTTACCGTTCTTATCACGACGAATAAATCCCAATCGTGTGGTCGGGAGCGATCCTGAGGGTCATCTTGGAGCATCTTTTCAGCTCGAAGTACCTACCCTAAACCCTAAACCCTAAACTTTGAATCTGCGCTTCGCAGGCTGACCTCTTCTGTGTCAGGTGTTGCTTAGATGTGGCTCGTGGCATCAGTCATGTGGCGAACACTTCCGTAGGCGAGTCTGGCAACAATGCCACTTCTGGCATCTGCATGTTCGCAATGGTTGTTTGGAGTGACTCGCCATTGCAGAAGAGCTGTATCTTGAAGTATGCCTGTCTTGAGACGGAATCTGCTGTGCCACGACTTTCGGAGCCAGGTCTGCATTCCTGGGGTGGCATGCCCGATCACTGATGTGCAAAGTGCCAGGAACTCGACCTTCCTTGTGCTACCCAGATTTGTGGAACTATGGCCCATACCTGATAACTTCAACTTGGCATCGTCATTACAAAAGTTCGCACTCAAGCTTGAACCAACCCGGAAAGCCTTGTGAGCCACAAAGCTTTTTCACCTTTGCGGGCAGATGTATTTAATTCTCTGGTTGCGTTCACTGTCATTTCAGGCACGCTTCTATCAATAATGAGTTACACTTCGTAGTGACTTAGTGCCACTGGTCATAGTAGGAAGGATGGTACTTGTGGCAATGACGCCGCACTGATGACTTTTCCACAAATCTTCCTCAGATGTTTGCCACGGCCTTGCCCGTGCACTGCTCTCAGGCCACGGACTGCAAGCTCCTCTGCAGCTACGAGCCGGCCTGTCGTGCGCTGCGCTTTCAGGCAAGCCTGCTGGGGCCCAAAGCTTTGGGGTTAGAGTTTAGGGTCGTTTAGGGTTGAGGGTATGGGATTTTGGAACGTTGGCTTCCTGGTTCTTGTGGTGTTTGGGGCTTGGGTTGAGGATTTAGGCATGGCCCGTGGATGTGTGTCGCCAGCATCTCGCAGGCAGCGTATGGCCATTGCTGGCTCATCGACAGCAGCTACAATCCGCTCGAGGACAATCCTATCTACCAGACAACAGGCAGGCAGTGCTTCAAGGCTTTTAAGGGCCGCTAAGCCCCAAGCCGTAAAGCCCGAAGGCACAAGCCCTAAGCCCCACACTCTGGAAACCCGAACCCAACGTCCTAAGCCCAAACCTAACCCCAAAACCCAAAACCCCTAAACCCCAAACCCCAAAACCCTAACCTCAAACCCTACCCTAACCCTACACCCTAAACTCCAAACCCCAAACCCTACACAAAACCCTGAACCCTACACCCTCAACCCTAAACCAACCTCGCAAGGCTGTGCACGGAATTTGGGACTTGCCAGTCTAACCGGCTACGAGGTGCAGGTGCGCTGCCGGCAAAGCCGGGAAGATGGGGCATGTGGGTTTGGGGTCTAGGGTCTGGGGAAATGGGTTTAAGGTTTAGGGTTTAGGGCCTAGGGCTTCGGGTTTAAGGTTTAGGGTTTAGGCTTTAAGGTTTAGGGTTTGGGGCCCAGGGCTTCGGGTTTAAGGTTTAGGGTTTAGGCTTTAAGGTTTAGGGTTTAGAAAGCCTTAAGGCTTAAGGGATCCTTGCTCGTTTCAGGGCTCCGGTAGGCTTCACGTAAGGCTTTCTATAAGGGCTGCGGGCTTAAGGGCTCAAGAGCTGCAAGAGGATTTACGGGCTTAAGGGTTTCTAGGCTTGGAAGGCAGTCTACTGTCAGCGCCAACACCACTGTCTGCTTGAACTTTACATTCACCAGCATGCAAACTTCGTCTCAGGGCGGTGCACAAAAGCTCTGCTGCTTGGGGCTTCTACATCCGTGTCTTGACCAGGTTGCTCATCGCTGCAGCGATCCTGAGGCAGACAGCAGCCGGCATGCTCAGACGCGATTGAAAGTTACCAGGGCCTTTCTTTAGATAGGTTCGTGGTTGCGGTCCGAATCTGGGACCACCAAATGCCAAGTGCTTCTCCCCGTAAGCAGTCACCTCGCCAATGCGAATTCAGGAGGGATCGTTCCAGTGGGTCTTCTCCACAAGGGGAAGCCCGCCATTGCGGACCCCGCCTTAAGACCGACTCCCCCTAAATGTGCATCCTTCCGATTCCTCAACCCCGAAATCATACGCTACACCGTTCGAGAAAGCATGAAAAAACCGCAAGCCAACACCCCGAAACACCAAACCGTCCCACCGCAAGACCACGAACATAGCTAGGAGCCCATAAACTCGAAAGCATCTGCAAATCCCCGAACTGTGGATTTGAGGTCCTGCCATCGTAGAGCCCGGCTTAGCGCGGGGGGGCTCAGGGCTGCCGAGGTTGGGAGTTTGAATATGGTATAGTTAGTACATACACCATAATAAAATAACGTAATGCAGTAGAATAGCATATATAGTACAGTATCAACAAAGCAATTACCACAGTACTTGATTTTATCGCATGACGTTGCGCAATGTTTGGGGTGTAGAGCTTTGGGTTCAGGGATTTGGGGTTGCCGAAATGGAGCTTTGGGAAACTGAAAGGTCGCTATACGAATATGCAACAAGTTGATGATGATCATCTATAGTGTAGTATAGGGGCCTAAATAATATCCGATACTATTTTGGGATCTTATAGTAGAATATGAATATACCCCCAAGCCCTCTTGTATAGGGTTCTATGGCATCGGGGCCTTTAAGGAGCCCGATTCTGATTATTAAGGCTCCTACAGCAGGGCCTGGGTTGAGGTGGGGGGGGGGGGTGTTGAGTATTAGGATTAATAATAATGGTAATATTAGTATTAGTATGAATAAGAATAGTAATATTAGTATTAATATTAATATTAGTATTAGTATGAATAAGCATATTTATATGAATATGAGTATTAAGAATTATATTGTCTGCATCAGGCCCAATCACACCACTGTCGGGCACGCGACGCAGCCAGAGGCCGGGAGCAGAAGCAGAGCGGGTATCCGGAAAACAGCAGATACGTATACACATATACTAATATACATAAATAAATAAATATATGTATATATATATATATACACATCAATGTATATACAAAAAAATGTTGTTCATGCAAAACGGCTGTAAGTGCTTCAGCCGCTTGCTCGACAGTGAGTTTGCTGCATGGTCTTGCCTCCAAGATCCTGGGCAGGATGTAGAAGAGCGTTCGGTGCATGGCCGCACCATCAGGAGCCGCAGTTGGGCTCTTGTTAAGGAGCTTCATTGAAGTTACCAGAATAAGGAAGCCATATTATTTACTATAGATCCCTGTTGTTGCAACTTGAATTAAATCCCTTTTCTTGAGCCCAGGCGGTTGGCTGTCTTTAACGTCTCAAGCCTACGCCGTAAGCGCGACGATCCGGAGCCTTTTGCCACGCTTATCAGCCTTCACCTTCCGTGTGTTGCCTGCGCAGACCGTGCTCTGTCCTGAAGGATTCATTTCGTCCCTGGAGTTCTACGAGACTACATGCCGGCCAGGGGCCCTGAATCCCGCACGCCTCGCTGCTCCTGAGAGCTCAAAGACTCAGAAGCAGATAGCGACCTAGCCCAAAGTGCGTAAAACCAGCAAGCCCAAAGCGTTGGTTTCACTTCTGTTCTTCAAGCTGCTTCAGGGATCAGGGCTTCACATTGAAGCCCCGCACAATCACATCAATCCCACCATGTCCTGCAAAGACTGGAGCACCAAGATCCTCACAGTTTTACTCCACGAACCTTTGAACCTCAAAAGCCCTAAGCCCAAAGCCCTAAGTCCGAAAGCCAAAGATCCCGAGTCCCAGATCCCTAAAACCTAAACCCCAAACCACATCTCTTTCTCAGATCCGCGATGGTGGCCCTCGACTGGAGATGGATGACTCCACGGACTGTGTAGGGATCTCGGTTGGGGTTCGAAGGGCTTTGGCTTACGGGGGTTTGAGCTTTGGTGTTTTGGGATTTCTTAAAGGCTTTACAGGGCTAGGGTTTCTTCGTGTAAGCTTCGGTCAGCAGGCTCAGCCCAGGCTGTGGAGAATTTTGGGCATTTCGCGGTTGAGGGTTCGAAAGGTGAGCCGGGATTCGTGAAACTGAAATCTGAAATTCGTGTCGCTTTGTCCGTGTATACACACAAGCGACGATGCGCTCAGGGCCCACGCAAAGCAGACCCAAAGCCCGAGAAGTGTTGGTTTCCTGGGTGGTATGTTGCATGCTATATACTCGAAATTAGAAACAATCTATATATATATATATATACACATACACATATCATTAGTACATGTTGTCTGCGTTTTATACTTTAGAATGCATGACAGATGGCATGATCTAGCACATATCCGACTATACATATATACACGTACATATATACTAATATCTACATATACATATATACATATACATATACATAAGTATATATATATATATATATATATATATATATATATTGGATATGTGTGTACCGACCATATGTTGCATTTTAATACCTTAGCTTATCTATTATATGCTTTAAGTTTCCAATTCTGTACCATACACTCTATACTTTATATGATGCGACTAAATCCCCAAGATGCCTCTTTCAAATTGTTTGGGCCGGCCCACCCCGGCTCTCTGCCCCCAAGGTTCCCAGAGTATCAAAAGTAAGCCTTCTTTGAAACCCCTAAACCCCTAACCCCTAAACCCTAAACCCATAAACCCCTAACCCCCTAAACCCTAAACCCATAAACCTCTACACCCTAACCTCTATAGTAAGGTCTACAGTAACTTGACCCTCTGTGGCCAGGTCTTCAAGAAATGGGCCGTGCAGGTTCGGTTGAACGCGAGTGAGGCTGGGCCGTGGCCTGGGAGTAGATCACATTGCTTAGACAGACGTTTTCTGTAATCATATATACTATAGTATAAGATAACATGGTATCACATAACATAACAGAATATAACAGAATATAATGGCATATAGTATAGAGTATACAACATATGATATTAAACC